GGTGGCGATCCACAAGGCTCTATTTTATCCCCTATGCTTTTAAAAATCTTTTCAGGGTTTTCCAAATTTGAGTTTCAGCTTTTTTGGACTACAGTTCCCATAATCTCTGCCCACTGATTATGCTAGTTAGGGATGATGGGAGTTGTAGTCTAACAACAGCTGGAGACTCAAGTTTGGGAAACCCTGATCTAAGTTAAACGAATGAGAATCATTGAGGGGGATTTGGGCTCAGGTACCACCATCTAGCTCTACGTTACCTCTCATCTAATTAAGGTGAGCCAGTAGACATTCTAAACCAGTAGTTAAACTTAATAATGGACTGAATGAGGAACAATAAACTGAAACCTAATCCAGCTAAGGCAGAAATACTGCTTATGAGTAGTTCATTTGTCCAGTTAAGTAGCCCAAATAGGTTTTGAATGAAGCCCCACCGCAAAAGGAGCACATAGATAATTTGGAGGTGCTACTAGATCAGGGGTCAGCAAACCTTTTCAGCAGAGGGCCCGTCCACTGTCCCTCAGACCTTGTGGGGGGCTGGACTATATTGGGGGGGGGGGATGAACGAATTCCTATGCCCCACAAATAACCCAGAGATGCATTTTAAATAAAAGGACACATCCTACTCATGTAAAAACATGCTGATTTCCGAACCGTCCGTGGGCTGGATTTAGAAGGCGATTGGGCCGAATCCGGCCCCCAGGCCTTAGTTTGCCTACCCATGTACTAGATTCATAGCTGGCCTCTATGGCACAGAACATCTTTTATAAAACAACCACACCCATGTCTGAACACAGATAACTTTGAAACAATTACCGGTATCCAAGTTGTAACCTAATCAGATGGCAACCTGAATAGATTATTGTGGTGGCTGCCTTTGAAACTGGTCCAGAAAGTCCAGTTGGCCCAAATAAAGCAGAAAGATCAGGAGCACAGTCAGGTAATTTTAGAGTGTAAAACTTAGATCCCAGACTTAATGGTCTTATGTGGTGCAGGATCTTCAGACAGCCATGTGTATTACTTAGTCATTAATAACAATAAAGATTTGTATAGCTTCAATTAAAACAACTTGGGGAAGGAAAAGGGATTTGTTAAGTAGACAAATCTTAAACTTTTTTTAAAAGAATATAGACTATTAAAATTATGGTTATTTTTTACAATTGATTCCTATCATTGCTGTAAGAAAGACCTGTCAAAGAATGGCAGGGGGATAATTTACACATTCCTTTGAGGGAGGAAAAACAAATACATCAGTTTTAATGTACTGTATAGAAATAAAAGAGAATTGACCTTGTAGTACCAGATACTGTACACTTTTATACCAGTATGCAAACCACTACTGGATGGTACAACTTTTAAGGCTATAAATTTATAGTCAGACTTTTGGCCAGTGTACATGGTTAATCCAAGTTGCCCTGTTCAAATCATTCATCCATCAGACCCATAGCTCTAAAAATTCAATCGCTCCTTAGTAGATTTCTGATGCAAGTAAAGCAATACAGTGTAATATAGTAACACACAGGTGAAAAAATACCATTTGTTTGCAATCATTCTGCACAGCTTGGGTTATTGTTCTGCAGAGAAATAACTGGTCACATGAAATTGATTACTGTTAACCTCCAGCTGCTACAATCACATTAATATACTTTTAAAATGCATTAAATACTTTCACAATATTATTTTTCCATAGAAACAATTTATGCTTTTACCACCAGAATGATCAAATATAATAGGAAATAATGCAGAACAGAAGGTCTGCTCATAAAATCACCCAAAAGGATAGGTGCACTCTTGTCTATTTTCACACATTAAGGTTGCAGATTTAAGTACATTTATCTAGCATCAAGCCATATTAAAACATGTAAGGCTTCCTTAGAGTACACAGGTATAAGACTTATGATGTAAATTTGATCGCCCAGTTCTAGTCATGTTCACTTCGAAGCAATCCCATTTATTTCAGTAAGACAGACTGCTGCATGTATGCCCTTACTAGGAAATAGGTCTCATTCAATTATGTGGGACTTGCTAAAGGGTCTGATTCTATTTCTGGGCTTGCTTCTTTGCAAAAATTGGAAAGCAGAAAACCTAGTCACACTTACCGGTAACTTTTCTGTCCCACTCCGGTTGAATTGAATGGAACAACGTTGACTTGATGTCATGTTTGTGAGAGGACAACCTCCTTGAATGTTGCCCTGAATGCGCTATGCCTGCATATAAGCTTTCAGCCTTTTATTTGCACTTTGTACTTTCCATATGTATTTGTACTTTCGCTTACCATTCTACTGGACAGCAACTCTTGCCTTGGTCCTCCCTCTTTGATGCCCAAGTGAACATACTGACAGCTGCACAACTCAACTACCGGGGAGGGGGGGGAGGAAACTGACATATAGAGAGATAAGGATGATACACAGCTCTGTCTTGTGCAAATTCAGTTTTATGCACTTCACTGGGGGGGGGGGAATCACAAAGGAGGTGGGCATCCAGGAAAAAAACCATTGGTAATCCCACCTACTATTGCACTCACGTTGGGAGAGAATTGGGAGGTGCAGGGAGAGTGTTCAGCGGCCTTGAAAGAGTGTGTGTGGCCTTGGAAAAGCATACACAGGTGCAGGGAGAGTGTTTTTGACTATGTGCGATTTTGATTTTTTGCGCTATTCCTGGAACATAACCCCCGCATACATTGAGAGTCAACTGTACTGCTAACTTTCGGAAAACATCAAGACAGTGTACAATATAATACAAGAAAACATGGTGCACTATAAAAACAATACAAAAGAATAATTGAAAGGACTGACTAATCAAGAATGTTTAAACAGCTGTATAAGTGTGTCAGCATAAAAAGTTCTTCAAGAGATGCCTGAAAGTCAAATGCGAGGATGCCTGCCAAATCTCTGTTGGAAGCGTATTCCACAGCATGGGACCAATGACCCTAAATGCCAAACTTTTAGAATTTGTCATTTGGATCTTTATAACACAGGGGACCACCAACAGTGCTTCTTTGGATTATTGAGTTGGGTTCGAAGGACTCAGGTGGTTCTTAACATCAACTGGACCCAAGTTGTTCAGGGTTTTGTATATTAGCACAACAGTCTTGAACCCAGCTTGGTAGCATATGGGAACCAGTGAATATATTTTAGCAGAGGTTTATATAGTGCTGGCTATCTGTCCCCATAAGTAGTCTAACTGTTCCATCTTGGAGGTTCTCCATCAGGCCCAATACTGCTTTGCATACACTACAGTGACCAGGTTATCTCATTACCAAATGAAGCTGGTAAAAGGCACTCAACTACAAGAGGCTCCTTGGACAAAAAAAATACAAAAATATATCCAGACAAAAATATATTCTTAAGCTATGTACCTGATCCATTACAGGGAAAATTTATTATATGCTAAAGGCATGCAGCCTAATGTCACTATACTGTGTTAAGGGACGCGGGTGGCACTGTGGTCTAAACCACAGAGCCTAGGGCTTGCCGATCAGAAGGTTGGCAGTTCGAATCCCCGCGACGGGGTGAACTCCCGTTGCTTGGTCCCAGCTCCTGCCAACCTAGCAGTTCAAAAGCACGTCAAAGTTCAAGTAGATAAATAGGTAAACGGCAGGAAGGTAAACGGTGTTTCTGTGCACTGCTCTGGTTCACCAGAAGTGGCTTAGTCATGCTGGCCACATGAGCCGGAAACTGCACGCCGGCTCACTCAGCCAGTAAAGCGAGATGAGCGCCGCAACCCCAGAGTTGTCCGCAACTGGATCTAACGGTCAGGGGTCCCTTTACCTTTATACTGTGTTAACATTCCTTAGGCTACAGCAGACAGCCAAATATTCTTGTGCTTATAAAAACCGCCAGGAGCATCTGTCTCTGGTCACAGTTAAAACTGTTGTTTAGCAACAATAATTACAAACTGAAAATAAAATAAAATAGCCATACATCACAGCAAGCACCCTGAAGTAAAACAATTGCAAGTTACATCAGTGCAAACATAACCCAGCCCCCATCAGCAGTACTGTAAATGTAATGGGAGCAATGCACAGCAATATCAGTTAAAACGTCTCCTGGGTGCAGAGCTGTAGATAGGTAATATTGCGCCCCTGGCAGAACCATCCAGATTGCGCCCCTAGCCACGGACAAATTAGCTCTTCTTTCCGCCTCTCCTCCAACCCCAACCCCCCACTCCACCCATTCAATTCACCCTCTGTTTAAAATCATTTCTTATGAGGCAATAATTGATATTTATATTTATGGACATATCTTAAAGCCGATTTTGCGCCTCTCAATTGCCTGCGCCCCTGGCGGGGGCCCAACTCACCACACCCTAGCTACGGCCCTGCCTGGGTGACAGCCCGTCTCTTGAATGTACTGTGCGTATTTTTAAGTAATTAGTGCATATGAGAACAAGTCTCAATGGTGAATCTGTGTGTCATACAAGAATTACTACCGCTAGGAAATCCCCAGAGGGTTAACTGAGTTAGTGTTACAGCAGAACAACGAAGAATATTGTTTGCTACCGTGCCAGGTTTTGTTGTTATACTGTATAAGCTTTTGCCGACCCGAATCGACGAATCATGAATCTTCATGGCACTGCCTACCCCATCCCTCCGTGACCCGCTCTCTGGCCGTGCTTAAAATGATCGGAATCTGTTGCATCCTTTTGAAAAGGGGAGGGATTCTTAAATGCAGGCTCCCGCTCTCTAGGAATGTGTGCCGGAGGAAGCGGTCTGGGCTGGATAAGCGAACCGGGAGCATTTCAAACGAACCACTAGCTGACATTAAACCAGCTCAGTCCCTCTGACTGATGTGGAATAAACCGGTGTAAATGCCACAGCTATCACTGTTTCCTGGGCGACGGTGTGACCGCCTAGTCAGCAGCCTAACCCATCCCCTTTTGAACCCAGAGAAGGACACGCTCGCCGGCTGCCCTAGTTCCCTCCCCCGCCCGTAAAGACTACAACTCCCGTCATGCTCTCTCTCTCGTCGCGTCGCCTTTACCTTTTTCCTTTCCCCCGCACCCGCCTCTCCGGCGGCTCGTGCGCATGCGCCTTGGGAGCAGCGTCCGGGGCAGGCAAGCAGTCTCTCCCTAATGTAAGATGGTGGCCGGTCTGGCAGCGGAGCGCGCAGAGCCTGGAGATTACCCGTCTCTCACATAAAGGTCGTCGGAGGAGCCGCCCGGACCCCTTCCCCGCTGCTACAGAAGCCGAGCGAGCGAGCGAGCGAGCGGGAGGAAGGGAGCGCGAGAGGGTATCGCCGCCCCCGCCGCCAGACAGCCGGTCGCCGTGGAGCAGGGACGACGAGGCGGCGGGTGAGTGAGCAGCCGGGGCTCGGGGAGCGCTAGCCGGGGCTGCCTAGCTACGAGAGAGCGGAGGCTTCGCGGGGAGCCTGCAGGCCTCGGCCATCCCTCATGCGCCTGCTCCAGACCCTGGGCCGGCGCCGGGGCTCCCTGTGGCCGGAGGGGCGGGAAGGCGGGCTGGGGCCAGCTAGGGCGGCTCCTGCCCCTGCGGCGGCGGCGGCGAGGGCCGGCTCGCCTCCCTCAGGAGCGCAAGGGTGGTCCGAGGGGTTGCCGGCGCCTGGCCGCTCGCGCCGGGGACCAGCTGGATGGAGAGGGGGCTCCGAGCGAGGCGGAGGCCACGCTGTGGCTGCTCAGGGCGGGGGCTGGGGAGGCAAGAGAGGCGGAGGGCTCTCGGGCAGCGCCTCCTTCGCATCCCCATCCCCACCCCTCCGCCGCTTCTCGCGTGTGCATGTTCAGGAGGGACCTATCGCTCATAGGCTTTGGGTCTGATAAGGTGCTGAGGAGGAGGTTTCTCCTCCTTCCTTCCATCCACAGTATTGAAAGAGGTGGTGGTTGGTGGGGAGGGGAGTATCCAGGCTCTCCAGCAGCAGCACGTGTGTTTGGTAGTGGGTGGCAGTTAAGTGTCCCCTCTTGCCCTATTGTGATGGGCATTTCGAATTTCCCTAGATTTTTAAAATTTCCTCTTACGTTCCCGTACGGCTTTCCCATTATACACAAGTCAGTTCCTCATGCCTTAAGTTTTGTAGGATGCTCCGATTAAGTAAGGTTGAAGGCCTTTCACCGCTTTCTCTTCCATGGTCTGCATTTCCTTTCTTCATTCAAAGTGAGGTTATGGTTCCTTCATGTATCTCTCTCTCCCCCTCCGCCACTCCACACATACTTTTTTATTTGGGTAGTAATTCCTGACAGATTTCTATACCCTGTGTACTAAAGGTAAACATGTTTCTCAGGAGGAAAATCTATGCTAGTGTAGGACATATATTGTATGTAATGTAAGCCTAGGAAGTAATGCAGTCAGGAGCTGGGGTCTAGAAATTGGCATGTAATTGGCTTCCTATACCTTTCACTACTTAAGGGCTTAAGAGTTCTGCTTGTGACTTCTAATAAATTGGTTTAGGTTGAAGTGGTGGTGATGTGCATGCTGTAATACTGTCTGTTTTTACCTTTTTTTTTTTAAAAAAAAATCCAGCTCATATTAGCTACTGCCTTTGTGGCCATAGGCATGTTAGCATGGTGATAGTAATAATAAGAGCAAATGATTATTAACTGACTTTTTATTCCTTGGAATTATAACTACAAAAGAAGTTACGGAACAAATTATTAAATATGTCTGGTGTACTTGATCCTTGTGGTTCAACAAATTCACAGTCCCCATAAAACATGTAGTTTTAGGAAATCTTTTGTTCAAGTAACTTCATACAGTGGTACCTCAGGTTACATACGCTTCAGGTTACATACGCCGCTAACCCAGAAATCGTGCTTCAGGTTAAGAACTTTGCTTCAGGATGAGAACAGAAATCGTGCTCCGGCGGCGCGGCTGCAGCAGGAGGCCACATTAGCTAAAGTGGTGCTTCAGGTTAAGAACAGTTTCAGGTTAAGAAGAGACCTCCGGAACGAATTAAGTACTTAACCCGAGGTACCACTGTATATGGTTTGATAGTCAAACACATTATACCAGGTTTTTTAAATCATTCTGAAGTTCTTAGTTTCTAATCCCCCAAACAGAAGTAACACATGCATCAGTTTATATATGTTTGACAGTTAGACATATGTAACTTTTTTTATTTGTATACCAACTTTCTTGACTTGCCAAAAAAATGAAAGTTTTTTCTAAGTGAGAATTGTCACTGTATGTATGTGGCCACTGTACAGGGCCACAACAACTGGAACAAGGCATTTATAACTGTGTATTTTCATTATTATTCTTGGCTTCTTTAAGAGACAATATTGCTAAAGGTATCGGATCACGTTGTTTAAGTTGGCATCTTTGAGCCATATGTCTTGGGAGAGCCTAATCAATTCATACTGGACTAATTTGTTAGAAGAATAAATACACACAACTTCTGCATTTCTCATAGGTCATAACTGTGAAATAACCAATGTTATTTGGTTAACTCATCACTGACTTCTTAAAAAGTTGCATAATGTGAGACTTCTCTTGAAGCATATGCCTCCTAAAAATGTAATTCGAAGAATGTATGCAGAGCATCACAATACAAGTTACATCCAAAATATACTACATAAAGATTTTGTATGCTCCCATCCAGAATTACTTCTGACGCAGGTGCTGTAAACAGTAGTACTGCACAGTGTGAACAAGTCTGAGTTACTGCAGAAGGTAATCAAATTCAGTTGTAGGGTGATGGTCTTATTGACCATTTTCATTCCATTTGCAAATATGTAATGTCCTGCTGGAATGAAGCAATTGTTTATATGGAAAAATAATAGAATATCATAATTATTAAATCTTTTCAGAATGTATATATGCTCTTCAATTCATGCGTCTTTCCCATAAACTCTCACTTGAATGTTTCTTCAGGTAGAAAAGGCAAATGGCCAGCCCTATTACTTTTTCTGGGTTTTCTTTTTTCATAGAATCATAGTATTGTAGAGTTGGAAGGGACCATGAGGATCATCTAGTCCAACCCCTTGCAATGCAGGAATCTGTTGCCCAATGTGGCGTTCAAATCCACAACCCTGAGATGAAGAGTCCCGTGCTCTTCTGGCTGAGCTACCCCCCTTTTTTCCAGTACACCACGGGGGTGGGGATACTTGAATTCTAAGTGGGCTGTAGACCTGAGCACTTATATAAATAATATGTGGAATTTATCCCTTTTGATTGATGGGAAGATTGAGGCATAAAGTTGGCATTTGGAGAAGTCTTCAAGTATTTCTCTTTTAGGATGGTATGGGAAAAAGAAGGTGCTATAGGGAAAGTGAATGCTTTCCTACCAAGAGAAGGGGCATTTTGAAGAGTGATGTCACCATGAAACCTATTTGCCATAGAATTAGTGCATAAGGTGTATGGGTTATTCATTCATTTGCAGGTATAGGAATAATGTAGGTGCCTTGTTCTGCAAAAGAGAAAAGCAGTACTTCTCTAGGTAATCTCAACTAATTTGCAGTAAAATACATAGACATAAAACTATTACTCAAGTACATATCTTGAATTGTTGACTAACATGATTGAAATGTTTTAATATAATTAATTAGGAGGAACTGCCCAGCTACTTGCTTAGAAAAACCAATTTTGCTAAAATCTCATGTACATGAGAGGTTGATGATATAATGTGCTAGAGTACTTGATACATTCAGTTGCTGAACAACTTAGCTAGAGCCCTAGTTCATAAGCTTTGCTTCAGACTATTTGTAGTGTTCATTAATGGTGGTTTCTTCAGAATGTGGTTGCAGCTTTGAAGTACTAAAAGTAATTAGTTTTGAAAAGTTAATAATAATAATAATAAGAAGAAGAAGATACTGCATCTAACAGCTCAAAAAATGTTAGGAGTGGGCAGTTGTTATCCAGGTGCTTAGTCTAGGCACCAGAAGCTTCTGATAAGAGGCAGTAGTGTAGGCCTGCTATCAGGCCAGCTACTAGCTCACCTATGTGGATTATTCTATACATGGGCAAATAACTCTGTTAACCCTCTTGTCTCCAGTTTATATTACACAGTTTGTAACACACTCAAATATGAAAAGCAACTGGGTTTTGAGCAGAGTTTTTGACAATATTCAGCTGGTTATTGTCATTTGCCTATTTCATGGCATATTAGTGGGAGTCAGGGATTGAGATAGCAGAAGGATGCCAAAATATGGTGTTGTCCACATACTTCATGTTTGCATTAACAAACCTTTTGCCTTTTTCTTGGCTTCAGTTATAGTGAGCTATGAACAGAGCCAATATTGCTACCCCTTCAGTCCTTGCATTACTCAAAACATAGCCCCTCTCAATTATTAGTTGCCAATGTGACTTTTAAATTTGCAGGTTGAGAATATTCCAGATTAACTGTAGTGTTAATCTGATAAAGCAAAGTTGTCACAATAATCATTTTACATTTAATTTAAACTTTATTTCTGCCCTGTTGGAAGTAATTGTTTGGCTTCTACAAGGGATTTTTCTCATTCTTGAAGGGTTATTATTCTGTGGTAGAGCACATGGTTTACCTGCAGAACACCCCAGGTTAAATCCTAACGTCTCCAGTTAGAAGGCTTTTAAATTTAGGGTTGAGAACGACCTCTGCTTGAGCCCTTGGGAGAGGTACTGCCAGTTAAGATGGACAATACTGGGGCTACATAGGCCAGTGGTCTGATTTGGTATAAGGCAGTCGTGTCTTCATCTGACTCATTGACCTCTTTAATTCATGATACCACCCTGGTTTAATTACAAGCTTTGATAAGCCATAGTAAGGAAGAATGATGTGCATTTTATCGATACAATATTTCAAGATGTTCAGTATTTGCTGCTGTCCAAGCATATAGGGTGGCATGTACAGGTGCAGAAAAGGGTAGCAATGGCTACTAGCTGTGATGACTGTATATTCCAGTGTCAGACGCAGTATGCACCTGAATACTTGGGGACTCTGAGTGGGAAAGTGCTATTGTGCTTATGTCCTGCTTATGGGATTCCCATAGATACCTGGTTGGACGCCGTGGGAACAGAATGCTAGAGTAGAGACTAGATAGACCTTTGGTACAATTCAGCAGTGCTCTTATTAACATTTTAAGTACAAGCAGCTATGTTTACATGTAGGCTTAAATATATTTATATTATATTTTTGGCCAAGATGGAAGTCTCCTCCCTGAAATTTGGAGAGAGTTACAGGGAAACCAACAGCATTGCAAATACAGTATGGTGGTACCTCGGGTTAAATACTTAATTTGTTCCGGAGGTCCGCTCTTAACCTGAAACTGTTCTTAATCTGAAGCACCATTTTAGCTAATGGGGCCTCCTGCGGCTGCCGCGCCACCGGAGCACGATTTCTGTTCTCATCCTGAAGCAAAGTTCTTAACCCGAGGTACTATTTCTGGGTTAGCAGAGTCTGTAACCTGAAGCATCTGTAACCCGAGGTACCACTGTATTTAAGATCATTTTTTAAAGAAATGTTTTGAGGAATACGGGGCTAATGCATTTTAATCATAGGAATAGCATTTCTTAGGCAAGGTGGAAGCTGTAAATTGTAAATTTGCTCCTGTTGTAGTGAAGCTTGACTATTAAAAAAAAGGTGCAGGGGTATTAACTTAGGCTTATTGTTATGAGCATGAATTGTATTTGAATTTTCAACAGGCCAATCTTATTTAATTTTTATATCTATTCACAGTGAGGGAACAAGAAACCCACCTGTGCAAATGGCTGATCAGACAGCAAGTACTCAGTGGAGCTTCCTTTCAGCTCTGGTTTGATTGTGGTAAAACAATCTGAACTGTGCTTAAGACACCAGTTTAGTTTATCCCAGCAGAATTCTTAAATGTCAAGCCTAAACATCAAATCTTTTGAGTTTCTTGGAGGAAAATTGTGGTTTTGTTGTACCCTGTCCATGGTGCTGCAGTGAAGGTGACTTTCTATATTAGTAAGCATGTGTTCCAAACCAATGTGGTCTCCATTTTGTTTGTTGAATTATTGGATCAACAACTATTGAACTAATATTTATTATGCTCCTTGGAGTATACCTGTGAGTGATGGGTTGTAATAAGTAAATTAAGAAGTCTTCATGAAGGATGATGTAATTCCAATGAGAACATTACCTACATGTTTCTTGTTCAACAGTTGGCTTGTTAAGCCATGGCAGTTAGCTTTCAAATAATTTATTGTATGTGTAGATTGCAGGGACGCGGGTGGTGCTGTGGTCTAAACCACAGAGCCTAGGGCTTGCCAATCAGAAGGTCGACAGTTCGAATCCCTGTGACGGGGTGAGCTCACGTTGTTCGGTCCCAGCTCCTGCCCACCTAGCAGTTTGAAAGTACGCAGTGCAAGTAGATAAATACGTCCCGCTCCGGCTGGAAGGTAAACGGTGTTTCTGTGCGCTGCTCTGGTTCGCCAGAAGCAGCTTAGTCATGCTGCTTGTGTAGTTGTGTTAACCTTTCATAGAGTTCTTGAGAAAACTTGCTAGTTATTTGTGCTCTGCAAGAGTCGCCTAGAAAAATGTCCAGTTGACAACCTCGGTGTACTTCGAATGCCACACACCTGCCATTGTATGGTGGCGTATTAATTCCTGATTTGACATTAACTTTTTTGAAGCTGTAGATTTAGCTTGTGCCAGAATGTATGTTTAATAGTACTGTGTTTATAAACCACATTTATTCCAGTGCACTTCAGATACTTTACAATGTAAGATACATACTTAAACAATAATTAGAGGTATACAAAAGACAAAACGGTAAAACAGCAAAATTGTCTCAGGCAGTGTTCGAAACTCCTATTGTTCTAGGCACATTTTGCAACAGGTATTTTCATTTGTGTGAGCCGTGTGTTCTGGGCACAGTACCGCACCTAAGATTTCAGATTAAATCTGCAGAGTGGAAGGAAAGGAGTACTTTTTTCTGCCTCCATGCCTCCAGCTACTCTCCGAAGACTAGAGAAGAGACCCTCTTAAGACTATTAGGGGGGTGGGCAGGGGAAGGACTAGACCATGTGAAAAATGAATGTAATATTTTAGCTGCAGTTCAAGCATTGGAACAGCCATGCCATCTTGATGAATTGGGCCAGGTTGGCCTCCCCTATGTCATGTTATTTTTCCTGAAAGTCAGGTGGTTCACGCTCCCAGTGACACTTTGTCACCTGACTAGTGATAGAGGTCAATTTACCTCCTGTCAGCTGTGCATTTCCAAGCAACATACAAGAGTGCATTATATAATGTTCTATTAAGATATGCATGCAGACAACCCCCGATTTGCGCAGGGGTTGCTTTTCTGGTCATTGCACACTTGCCCCTGTTCCACCCTTTTAGTGACATCTTTAATGACATTTGCAGGTTCAGCGTGTGTGTGCAATTGCACACATATTGGTCACACCTAAAACGGGGTTACCCGTATACCTTTCATATGCTTAAGGTAGGAGATTTAAGTTAGGTTTGAAATAAATCAGTATTATATACCAACTTGTCCCCCTGAAATTTGCTTTTTATCTGCTATGCAGATGCTTAGCTTGCACAAATGAAGAGTTTATCAGTTTCATTACATTTTTCTTCCCGCCCCCCGTTAGGCTTCAGACAGCAATATAATGTGCATATGAAGGAACAATGACAGTGTAAAACTCTGAGCTATGGGTTAGGGACTAAAGGCTACACATGGAAAAGTCCAAATTTCTACTCTCTTCAAATTTGATATACCCAGTGTGATTTACTGTCAGGTTTGACTTTGATGGGAGAAACTCTCAAGCAACTGTATCATAAGGTGGCTGTGAGGACAGGGTAATTGGTGGGAAATCATACTATTCCATTAGTCTTCAGTTCCCAACTCTAGTTTCTTGCTTCTTTCCTCCCTCTGTCTCTTGTGTTCATAGGCTGTCTTGTTCCCTGAAGTCTTGGCTAATTTAAAATGTACTTTACCATAAGGTGCTTAAGCATATCTTTTTGTAAGTTGGTTGGTAAATGGTAAAGAAAGTAAAGAATCAACATTGTGCTAAACTGTTTTATGGAATCTTAGAACAGTATTTACACATAAAACATTATTATTCCAAAACAGAAGTAATTCCAGTTTCTAATGAGAGATCTTGCTTTCTGTTCATGTGCATGGGTATATCATTGTACCAGTGGAGAGAATGTGATCAAGGTTTTCTCTTTGGTGAATTTAGTTCTTTGTTCCTCTTAAGAATCAATGATAATGGTTTTTTCTCTGCCTTCTACAAGTACATGATATGTATCATATGCTAGAATAATGAACTTGTGAAAAGAAAGGGTACTAATGTCACTACAAATGCTTTACCTAATGTGTGAAAATGGGCTTTATTTTAAGGAAATGTTGTGAACTAGCTCATATCTCCTGATGGAGTCTATTCACTGTTTGGGCTAAGAGTTAAATGGTAGGACTCTTCTGTTGTGAAGTGGAACAGATTCCTACAAGAGGTGGTGGACTCTCCTTCCTCGGCAGTTTTAAGCAGAGGTTGGATGGCCATCTGTCATGTATGATTTAATTGAGATTCCTGCATTGCAGTGGGTTGGATTACATGACCCTCAGGGTCCCTTCCAACTCTACGATTTTATGATTCCATGAATCACATGTTTGCATAGGCTGTACTTGAATTGTCTGTTGTCCACTGATTTTATGGCAAGCAATATGAAAACTTTATGAAGCATTCTTTTCATTCCCCAGAAAAGCTAACATCTGAGTAACTAATAAAAAGAAGTTCCTTCATAATATTCTATATCAAGAAAGCCCTTCCGCTTACTATATCAAGAAAGAGAAGCTGCTTGTAAACTTATTTCAGATCAAGATATAACTGCTGAATGCAAAGAAAAGTAATTGTACAAGCTCTGATTCTTTTCCAGAACCTTTCCAGAACTTAAACTTTAAAGATATGTTTCAAGTTTATATAATCTTACTTATTATCCTTGTAGCATTTTCAAAAACAATAATACCAGGTTCTATTTGGGTGATGTGTTGGACTAATCTAGACTGGATTTTAAAACTCCTGATAGAAAACTTGTCTGGGTTTACTGGTTTGTCTGCACACATGTATAAAGCTGTTCACACCAATATGTCATTCAGTAGCTGCGTATACACAGATGGCTGCAAGTCACCTGTAAAAGAAAAGATTTGGTAGATAGCTGCTGCTACTTGAAGGTACCCTGATGAGAAACTGTATCTAGGAAACTTGATGAAAGAAATACATATATATGTTTACTATTCCAATGCTGTGCCGCTCATGATATTGTTCTTCCATAGCATTTGTGATTAAATTAGAGCACATGCCCAGCAGTTGTATGTTTTGGTTTCACATAAGGAGAAGTAACCTGTTGGCATGAGAAACATCTTCAAAAAACGTCCTTGTGTTAGGTGTATCCCCAAATGGTAATTACAGAGTAAGCTAGGGCTGCCGTATGTCCAGAATTTCCCAGACATAGCCATGATTTGACCCTCATAAAAAGCTCAACAATTTTATTTTCACTTTTTGTAATATGACAACCGTAGGGTAAGCAATCAGGGTTTCATTGAGGTTAGGTAAAGACCTTGTTGCATGTATAAATCAACCATTGAGCTCTCTATCTCTCTCACTGGTTTATGGCAAAGGATAAGGCTTCTGAACTTAGAACTGCTTTGCTTCTCTTCATTTTAAAGGGCATTAAACTTGCATATTAATTTGGGGAGGGGGGATTATTAGGTTGCTCTTGTTTTTATTATGTATTTTGATATTGTGATTTATGTTGTGAACTGCCCTGAGACCTGCAGGTTATAGGGTGCTATACTAATTTTGATAATAATAAGAACAATAAAAATAGTAATAATTCTCCTTCCCCCAAAAAATACTTTTACTAAAGCATATATTTCATGATTCATAAGTTCCAAAAGACAGTTGACTTGGTCGGTTCAATCTGGGGGCTCGTTCACTTGTCCGCTTGTCCCATTCCTTGAAAGCAGGGGTCCAAAAGGTTTTCTGTTTGTCCTGTGCTTTCTGGCATGGGTCTGAGTGGTTTTACATTTGTTCCACATCTTTCCCTGGCAAAACTGGCTCTTTTACCACTGAATCGGAGCAAATGTTAATCTGCTGAAAACCCAGTTGGACGTTTGCTCCGATTCAGCAGTAAAGAGCATTTTTCTTTTTCTTCAGAGAAATGTGGCAGGGCAAGCAGATGTGTGGACAAGCCTTTAATTCTCCCCAGCATATTTCTCTATGCAGTATTGGCCTGAAATGACATTTTTCTTAAGAATGTGAGCACATAAGTAGGACTTTGTCTACCTTTCTGAGAATCTGCAGAACTGATGTAAGCTCACTTGCACATCTGATTTTAACTTCTGAGCAGAGCAGTCCAAAATGGGGCAGAGGGATAACTAAAGGTGAACATGTTGCCTGATCAGAATCTTAAGGCATGCAGTGAAAGAGAAGGGGAGTGTTTTTACCATTTCCCATGCCCAAAGTCCCCCCTACTTTTTCTTTAAAGCAGTTTTCCTCCTAGTGTATATTTCCCCTTTTTTGGGAAGGAGATCAGGTCAGGGCAAGGAGAAGGCATTGGATTCTTCATAACTCCAGGTTTGACACACCCCTTCTTTCTTCTACAGAAGTCAGAAATCCAGTGTCAGTAAGGCAGGGGCCACAGAGGTTTAGAGGTTGTATGGTGTATGAGGTCTCTCTCCACCCTCAGAGGGGGGAGATCCAAAACACTCTGTGGCTCCTTAGATGCCTTCCCAAGGACCATAGCGTTATGTTGTTAATAGATGTCCTTTTCCTGTAATTATTTCAGTTTTGGTCATGCCCATAACAGTGTGTGTGTAGTAACATTACAGTTGTGAGAACAATAAAAATGATTTTAGTGCAACCATCAAAAATCTTAAATAAAATGTGTGATTGTAACACTGATTGTGATTACCTTTTGAAGGGTTATGATGAAATTTATGAATGTAATTACCACACCTGAATGTCACTTTTAAGTACTACACCATGTTTAAATTAAGACCAAAGTTAGAACATTGAGTACATGGTAGTAAATGTAGCTTGTAAGTATTCTGACTGCTGCTCTAGATCAGGCTTCCTTAACCTCTGTCCTCCAGATGGTTTTTTTGGCCTACAACTCCCATAATCCCTAGCTAGCAGGACCAGTGGTCAGGGATGATGGGAACTGTAGTCTCAAAACATCTGGAGGGCCGAGGTTGAGGAAGCCTGCTCTAGATATTTGAAATCTGGCTATATTGCCATAACTAACAGAAATAAGGACTGCTGCGTAGATAGTGGCTTATCCCAAAAATAGTTACCAGTACAAAAGTGAACAGCAATTTAGGTTCTTAGCTGTTGACAATCTCTCTAGTTAACTTGGAATAATAGGTAAGATGATAAATCTTATTGGAGTAGCATATATGTAATTAGCAAGCATAGGTGAACTTTTCTGCCATACAGTACAGGGCTTCCTCTGTTAGAAATAAGAAACTCTTTGAGACGGCACAGTGGCTGTAATAAGAGACTACATTTTAGAAATTGTGTTTTGTGCTTCTTAACTGTGATTCCACATTAATCTTTCCTTTCCCTCTAAATTGAAAAACCATAACCTCAAAGCCTTTTGACATTGTTAAAGTGGTCCAATAAATTCTCAGCCTTCTAATAATCTTAGTTGTCTTTTTCTGTACCTCCTTAAGTTTAATATTCTTTTGAGGTGCATTGCTTATATCTATACACAGAATTCTAAATGTGGACAATTTACAGACTGATATAATGGCCTTATGCTAATAGCATTATGTTAATTGCTGTGCTCAGTCTCATGTGATAGGATTTGGCTTTTTCTACATAAGTGTGGAGCTGAGCTGACTTTTCCAGCCCAATGTTTCCTATGTAAATTCTTAATCAAACCTTCCAAAGTTTATCTGTTTGAAGAATAAAATTCAGTAACTTTTCTAAATAAAAAGCTACTAGTCAGTAAAACTAGCATATTTTGATTTTCAGCAGGTTTTGCCTCGTTGCTTTCAAGCTCTGGGCTTTCACTGATTTTTGGCCAGACACCTTTGAAACTGTTAAATGCTTCATCCTGAGTGACTAGGTATTTACTTCTTGGATCTAGTAACAGAGGCGAACTGAAGGCTTGCCTTATGCAGAGTTAGACCAGTGGTTCATCTAGTTCAATATTGTCAACACTGAATGATAGCAGCTCCTGAGAGTTTCAGACAGAAATATTTCTCAGCCCTCCTTTGACTTACCAAGGATTGAACTGGGACTTTTTGTACCAAAAGCATTTGCTGCACCACTCAGCAGCAACCCTTTCCTTAACTGTTAAGTAGTGCCCATGATAGTTCTCTCCTATGAATATGTTGGATGCAAGCATGCAGCAAAATGTACATCTGTGTGATGGTTACATGACAACCTATGTGTGGGGTTTGTATATAGTAGTGCATTCCATATAGAGGCTCTCACCTGCATCTTTTTCTGTATCTAACCCATGCTAACTTCTAGCTCTCCTTTTCTCTTGTTCACCTTAGTTTTATCTTATTTGTGAACTGTCCACTCCTGAAACTAATGTTCAAGTCTGACTATAGCATATGATTTTATACAACTACAGCAAAGCTTTCCAGACTTTTCATGTTGGTGACACACTTTTAGGCATGCATCATTTTGCGACACAGTAATTCAGTTTTACTAGCAAACCGGAGGTTAAACTAACCACTTTCCAGCCCCGGAAGGAGCGTGGGGAGTGTTTGTGTGACACACCTACACACTGCAGCCAACACACTAATGTGTCGCGACACAGTTTGGAAAGCTCTGACCTACAGTAACACTGTGTGATCATAATTCTATGTACATTTATGTACTCTTTTGTTGATGATGCTACAATTTTAGAAAAAGTGGTTGGAAACAGTGAAGCCTGACCAGCTTCCTTTTTTGAACTGATCCTTTCTTCATGTTGGAGTGCTTAATTTCCTTCTCAGTATTAACTCTTGACAAGGTCTTAACTTCATTGGATTAACTTGGGAAGCGTGCAGTTTTCTTTATTTGATATATGATCCTTCTAGGGCACTCTTCCTTCATGTTCTCAAGCTTATTTTTCCAACCACAAAAACCAAAACTTTGGGATGGGGGGGGAGCAGGAGAGACTACACAAAAACACCTCTGCATAGGAAGTATGAAATCCACATAGACTGACATATGATTACATATTTGTCTCTGGCTGCACATAAATGTAGAACTTGCAACAGGGTGATGAACATATTTATAGAGAAGTACACTCACAAGCAGCACTCATCAGCTGGGGCTGTGGACTTGCTAGTTTCAAGAAATAAATCCCTAGTCACTCAGGGTTCAATATTTTAAATGGTTTCTAGCCTTGTGTGGTTCATGTATCAGTAAAACTACAGTACTTGATATTTTCTAGACTCCTGGGCAGCACAGAAGTACTCATAGGCAGTGTGTGAACCCCATGCCCGTTCTCTGTGGTATAGATACAGCAATATGATGCTTCAGAGTTACAAAATAGAACTGTACACTGTACATCTATCTGGGTGGTAAGTTTTTTAGATTGGAGTTGATCTTCTGTGGAGAAGGGCCATAGCTCAGCTGTAGAGTATCTGCTTTGCATGCAAAAGGTCCTAGGTCCAGCCCCTGCATCTCTAAGTAGAGTTGAGAGAGTTCCCACCTTAAATTCTGGGGAGCTGTGTATTTAATGAAGGCAGATATATTTTGCGTAGTTACACTTCATGCAAATGTGTTCATGCTGTGACTTCTGACTTAATGAAGTTTGTAATAGAAGATGTTTGCTGTATAAAAAGCAGTTACTTAACAGGGTGCCAAAAATAGTATCTGGGGAGTAAACTGAGGAAAGTCTTGCTAAAGTGTCCAGTTTCATTTAGAAGAGACTTATAGGCTCACCAGGACTAATATATGGGCTTGCATTCTATGTCCATGGATGTTAAAAAGATGCAAGCTGTAGTAATGAATAGGTATAAGCTGTGGTTGAATTCTGCAGATTGGAGCCCTAGACATCTGCAGAATTTCTAGGTGATATCAAGAGTTTGGGGCATAGACCAAGGAGACCTGAGTTCACATTCGTGTTGATCCATAATGCTCACTGGATGACCCAGACTAATATTGTTTCATCCACTTACCGTGCAAGGTGGTTGTGCATGAGATAGCTCCCATTTAGCTGCTTTGAGATTCTCTGGGAAGAAGAAAATACAAATTCAAAAAGAAAAGTACAATAAAGTATTTCCAAATTTTCTGTTTTGAATCTACTTTATATACTTACATGTGGTGGCGAGAAGCTCAGCAATTGGTTAATTCATTCTAAAGCACTTTCAGATTGCTTCAGATATATTTTATGCAGGACACTCCTAACTCTTATGCCAGTGGTTTTCAACCAATGTTCCGTGGCACCCTGGGGTGCCTTGAATGATGGTCAGGGGTGCCGCGGGCAACACTGGTCTCTGCCCTCCTTTCTTTCCCTCCCTCCTCTGATGCTCTCTCACATCTCTGCTTCCCAAAGGCTTGCATAGCTTTTCATTGCAGCAGCCCTGGCTACAAGTTCCGTAGGTGAATGGTGCCTCTGGGGCTGGCCAGGGAGTGCTGGTTGCCAGGAGCTGAGCTGGCCTCTGAGTAAGCAAGTGGGCAAGGGGCCCAGCCAGCCAGCCCGCCAGTCCTTGCTGTTGGAATGGATGGACAGGGTGCAGGGGCGGTGACAGCGGCTGCCCGGAGGACTCCCAAGGAGAGGGGAGGGAAGGCTGAGGGGATACTCCACAAGGGAGGGTATTTGAAAAAGGATGAGAGGCTGCCAGCTCTGCAGGCAAGGGGTGACATAACTGGGCTCCTGAGCCCCACTGTGGTGCTGCAGAAAGAATTTAGTTGGTCAAGGGAGCCATGGACACAAAAAGGTTGAAAACCTCTGTCTTCTGCTGTCAGTGTAACTCCACTGAAATTCAGTAAGAATTTCTAAGTGTGTTTGCTGACACCTACACCCCATTCTCTAGATTAGAATCTGGTTGTATTTGCCCACTGAGGGACAAGCAGGGCAAATTAGAAGACAGGATGTTCAGATATCATTTGTGTTGTTAGTTACAAATCTTGAAGTGCATTATGATAAGCAAAACTATTTCTCTCAATTTGTTCCAAACAAATCATGAACTTTGTTAAACACTTGAACAAATTGGTCTATTACATGTATAGAGAATCCCAGCTATAGTTTCTCAACATAGTACCTAAGGTTACTTTTAGCACACAAGTTCATGTTAAATTCCAAATAGTATCTGCTTCTGGGCACCAAGATAATTGTGCTATTATCTTGTAGTTCCCAGATGCTTGTGTTTGTATTCATGGCCTAGTGCTATCTATTGTTGTAGAAGTCACTATTCCTTGTGCTCCATTTTTTTCTGCAACCAGTAGTGGCAGCTTGCTGATGTTTGTAAAGAGCTTTTTGATTTAGTTTTTCATCTTGTCAAATTGATGGAATCCACTGGAGATTGAGCAAGTGTTAGAGGAAAAAACATTGAGGTCATTTGGGATAGTCATACTGATAATATCAATGCTTTTCTGAATCAATTCAAGAATTGTTTGCTTCAGTACTGCAAATGGTGCACACTTAGATGAACACTATTTACATGGGCTGGCATTGATGGTGGTTCTGAGCTGATTTTATGTGTTTGAGGGACCCCTGGCACTTCAGTGAATAAAATGTAAAACTTCTCTAACTCTGCCTGAACAATGTTTGCCAAAGACTCAAAAACAGGGACCCTTCTTTCTGAAGGCCAGATTGCCTCCAAGATAATGTTGGTACACGGGGTGCATGCTGGTAGTGGGTGGGGCAAGAGCCAAGGCACCCCTTTTCTTCCTTTCTGTCACACCATTTTTCTCATGCTTTTCCTTTCCATCTATATTATATTAAACCAAAGGCTGCAGATTTGACTGCTATTGATTTAGTTGATCACTGAACAGACTGCTGCAGGCCAGTTACTATCACAGTAATTATACTGGAGAGCTTGCATACAACCTCCACATACCGTTGTGATTTCTAAGATATAGAATATACTCATGTGTTATAAATCCAAGGACATGTTGAGGTTTTTCTTGATGCCAGCCCTCGGCTGTGGAATTTCATTCCCCTCAATTGAATACTGCTTGGCTATTGGTTCATGTTTAAGTGTGGTAAATGTCTTCACCACATATTGAGGGTTGGGGGGAGGGCTACAAACCCCAAAGCGTATAAGAAAGCTTTCTGTGAATCATGTAAGAACAAAGATTTGAAGAAATTTTCACTTTGGTTGTTTACTTGGAGGACTTCATTGTGCTGTTATACAACAAAGGGTTGTAAAATAATTTGAGATGTTTGCTTAAATGACAGTGGGAAACTAAAGGGTTAGATGCCACTCTTTTTCACAGTTCATTGAGAGTGGAAAACTTCGTGGGTTAATACCCCTTGAAAACTAAGTTGGAGGCTGGGAAATATTTTAAGCAAAAGCAATTTAAAAAAGCTTATAAACTGCTTTTTGATTCAGATAGAATTAATTGGTTATGCTCCAGTGTAGACTTAAATACTAATTCATTCATCTTTTTTCTTTTCCAGATCTTCAAGTATCTTCATTTTAGTTTTCTGTGCTATTCCTCCCTTAAGTTATTATATACTTTTTTGCTGCTGTGCGAAAACAGAGATGTCTCGCAGCCCAGATGCGAAGGAAGACCCTGTGGAATGCCCCCTTTGTATGGAGCCTCTTGAAATTGATGACATAAACTTCTTCCCTTGCACCTGTGGTTACCAGATCTGTCGCTTCTGTTGGCATCGTATTCGCACTGATGAGAATGGGCTTTGCCCTGCTTGCAGAAAGGTATATATTAAGTTCATTAGAATAAATTTGGTTATGTAATAAGGTTCACCAACATGAAATGTTGCTTTAAACATGATGCATCTTGTCCCCTAAGACTATCTTGGAGTTCACTGTCAAACCAGGGAGGAATATGGAGTCCCTTTAAGTGAAATATTGATCTTTGTTCGACTTTTGAGTTCTATACTTTCCGCAAAGTATTCTCCTGAACTCATGAATTGTCAGAAGTCAAGTATCACTGTAAACATCGGTTTAGTGGTACATATATCATAGGGCAATACAGTATCCTCCACTTCTTCCAGCCACAGCTGTTAGCAGTCGTCTACTCTGAAATCTGCAACAAGTGTCTTGGTTGGCAGGGCAAGTGGGAATAGGGTGGTCAGACAGATGGAAAGACTTTCCTCCCATCATAGGACCTGTTATCAGAGCAACAGGCAAAAAATGAAGCAGGTTTCTGTGTAAGATACCCAGATAAGTAAGATACATTGTCACTGTTCAAGGACACATTCTAGCCAAGCAAAAGAGCTGGAGGAGAATATGGAGTAGGGCCAGTGAAGGCTGTCTGAGTCCTGATGGCCAGATTAGAGAAGCCTGGAAGGCAGCACTTGGCCTCTGGGCCTGAGGCTTCCCACCTATGGTTTTCTTGATATGGTCAAGGGATCAGGGACTTTTATCCTTCGATGGAGCACATGGGATGGGCATCTGGCAACATAGCTGGGGCACTTTAAATGTTGTTTGCTCATGAAAAAGCAATTCCCACACTACTTGTGCTAGTATACTTGTGGTATCCAGTTAAGTGATGATTAGTGTACATCCATTGAAATAAACTAAAGTTCATTTATTTCAGTGGGTCTAAGTAAGACTTAGCCAGGTGCCACCCTAAAACTGTTTTCAGTTTAACTTCTTTAAATGAACAGATGTGTTTTGGTTATTGCGTCATCTCTATCTTTTTTCTAAATTTGCACCTTTTCTGTAATGTGGTGAGGTGTTTGAAATCTGTAGATGCTCATTAAGTACATCACTAGGACATTTGTTTTGAATGCTTCTGATGACCCAGCTGTTTGAACTCATTGACCTGCTAAAGTGGGTCACATTTCATGTGCCAGTGGTGGTTAAAGGGAGCCATGTGTAAAAAACTGAACGTTGCATTGCATTCCTTTAAGCTTTTGATTTATTAAAAAATGTTTTTTTTTTAAAAAAAGGTATTAATCAGCATGGTATTGTCATATATTGTGTTTTTGTGACAAGTTACTGTTAGTGTTTTATCATGACACTCATACTTGTATAATATCAACCATTATATTTTCAGATGCCTGCTTTGAAACAAGTTTACATCTAATCACTATACTCTGTTTTCTGTATTCTATAGAAATGCACCAAGCTTCTCACAATGAGAAGACAGGTAATGGCAGCCTATCTACCATTACCTTTATCTGCTGCTGCACAATTCAAGGGAGGAAATGTCAGCCATCTTTGCAAAGGATGATATCAAAGTTTAAGAAGCCTCACTGGCAGAAAGTGCACACCTATTCCTTGGTGGGCTCAGATTTATTTGAAGCCATTGCTTGTTTCTATATCATTCATATAGCATCTGTTGCAGTGGGCGCGAGCTTTGCAGGAAACAGTGATGTGGAAATTATTAATCAAGGCTTACCCACTTTTCTTTTTATTAGCCATATCCAGAAGATCCAGCAGTGTATAAACCACTCTCCCAAGAAGAGCTGCAAAGGATAAAAAATGAAAAGAAACAGAAGCAAAATGAAAGAAAACAGAAGATATCAGAGAATCGTAAACATCTGGCCAGTGTACGGGTTGTACAGAAGAATCTTGTATTCGTAGTAGGGTTATCCCAACGCCTAGCAGATCCAGAGGTAAGCAGCTGCCAGAAATCTGAACTTCCTGTAGAATAAGTGTATCCTGAACTTATTATAGTTGCGAAATAAATTCCTACTCAAATTAGTTGATTCTTCTGGGCTTTTCAGTGGTGTTCAATACCACCAACTGATGTCTTGAGGGAGCAGTGTCTCATTGAATATGCAATAACAATCCTAATAAGATAGAAATATTGTTGATTGTGAGAACTAGTGGATCTGGAGTTAGTTGTACAGCCTGCCTTGGATGGGGTTGCATTTGCTCTGAAAAGGGAGGCTCCCAGCTTTGATGTGTTCTTTGATCTGGAACAGCTTCTGGATGCTGGGCTGGGACCACTTTGGCTGATATACTAAGCTGCACTTACTTGCAGAAGACAATTCTGGCCATGGTAATTCATTCTGAAGCTTGCTAAAGCATCAGCTTTGATAGTATGACTTTACATGGGGCTGCTCTTAAAAGCTTTCAGAAATTTTGGTTGGTGAGAACACTATGACCAGACTATCTTAAACTGGTCAGTGAGACATATTACTATGTTGGTGCTCAATCTGCAGAAGTGCTATCAGGGCTTTCTGGGCCTGGTACACTGTATTGGGACCTCTGATCTACTCACAAAAGAGGACATTTGCATATTCAAATCTTTGTGCCCTTTTGCTGATAGCTATGCAATGAATTGTTAATTAATGCTTGCACCATAGATCCTGCGCAGCAGGAGACATGCCCAATTCCTCCAAATTTTGAATTCACCATGGTTTTCTTTAACATTCACCTACGCTTACTGTGTAGTAGTATTTCAGAAAATAACTTCTGGGGACTACCTGATCTCAGACAAACCCACCATAGGAAAGATGCATTCTGGTTGATAAGAAAAAAGGGTATACTACAGAGGTTCCAAGTGCTACAAAATGAGATGGAATCAGGAAAAGTGCACCAAAGGGGAGGGGAAAACAGAAGCTCTTTAGGATCCCATGAATTTCTTTCTCTTGAGGCTCACAAAGCTCACTCTTCAATCACAGTTCTGTCTTTATTCATTGGCTAAAAAACACTTAAACACAGGAGCAGACAGCCTAGCACATTGCTTAGTAGGGTACCTGAACATCTTGCTTTATAAGTTTATTTCTAGGAGGGCTAGATTTTTTAAATGAAAGCTCATAGTCTGGGGTCCCTGCTGTCAGTGGGCCTGTTAAATTGGTACCCACTTGGCATGCCTTTCGATCTTCACTTGGAATTTTATGTGATTTATGGACTGCAGGCTGTTAGAAGAACTCATTATAATACAGTGTTGTTAGACTTCAGGAGAGAGAATTGAAGTTATCTGCCACTAATTGTAGGAAATATGGTATGTGCTCAGTACCAGTTGCGTGCCTGGGTGGAGACTCCTGCGCCGCTCCAGTTGACAGCCCGAGACCAATGTTTTGTATAGTTCATTTGTAACTGCTTAGCAATTTTCCATTGCTTTCTTTGGTTAAAAGATTTTTCAAAGGGAGCAAAAATAGTTAGGCATCCATTAGTAGTCTGAGTTTTGTCTGAGCTGCTTCTTAATATTGCTTTTATATCGGTGAACTTAATCTTCCAAACAGGTTTTGAAAAGGCCAGAATATTTTGGGAAATTTGGTAAAATACACAAAGTTGTAATCAACAACAGCACATCATATGCAGGCTCACAGGTAAGATTCTGATTTTCCCTTGACCTAGGCAAAAGGTGGGTGTTCAGCTGGAGTTCCAACAGTTTCAGTTGCATACGGACAACTCATTTTTGACATCCTTGGGTCAAAAACATTCCATACAGGAACATTTCGGCAGCTCTGTTTTTGTTTGCATGTACTAATAACCAGAGTCAGATTAATTCTACAACGTAGACTACGCAGCAGTAAGGTGTAAACTGCCCCTGAATTTTTACAATTAGAATGTAATTTCAGTTAAGTGTAGCCTATGAATGTATTCCCCTGCAAACATGTGTCCACATCTTTTCATTTGTTCTGTCTGGAATGTACCCTCCTTATTATTGCCGCTTTGTACACCCCTGTTCAGGAATGTAGTTGCATTCTAACTTGGAGCACCCCATGATTTACTATAGCTGTTTTGCTGGTGCAGAAGCTGATATACTCGAAATATGTTATAGTTTTTCACTAAATAGAAAGATTGTATTGACTTCTGGGTGTGCATTATACCTTGGTGAAGATTTTTAATTCTACCCTAATCTGGTTGATATGCTATTGTCATACTAATGAAAAAATTAATTCCTATTTCAAAGTATATGTTACTTTTTCATTCAAGTTTGTTAGTAGGAAAGGAATATGTTACTTGGAATGCTTAAGTTTTTAGAAGTTGGCTTCAAAATGGGTAAAGGAGCAAAGAGCAGACAAAAAGTTAACATAATTGTAAAGAAAGAAGGGAATCCAAATGCATGGTAAGGATTTTGGAGTAAAGCTGTTGTGGCCTTGTTGCTATGAATATCAGTGTACAGAGTTGGGAAACCATCAATTCAAACCTAACTTCAGCAAGCCCAACCTTGTATGGTATATAGTTGCTTCATTCTACTGATTTTACTCATATGTTCTGAAGAAACGAACTCTGAAGCAAGGAACATAGTGGGTTTTTTTTTAATTTAGGTTTTTCCTTCCTGTTGTAGCAGTCATTGCCTTAGAAGTATTCCTTTGTGTTTGTTTTATGGATAGGAGTGCCTCTTAAAATGGTACGTGCCAGGTGTAGTATTTAGAAGTACTTCTATGTTTTAAATTTGCTGTCCGATTAGTCACAGGCACTTCTGTAATCTGTTTAAACTGATTATTCAAATATTGCAGTAAAAATTACTACTGTACTTTTGAAAATGAATCCTTTGCCGAGGGCTTCTTATGTATTAAGTACTTCAGAATTTTGTGAAGTTCAGCGCTGCATTATAGGATGACTAATAAACTGACCTATGCGCATACACTTTTTTTAATTACCTAGGGTCCAAGTGCAAGTGCATATGTAACTTACATCCGGTCAGAAGATGCACTCAGAGCCATACAGTGTGTCAATAATGTGGTAGTAGATGGAAGAACACTTAAGGTAATATGAATGTGTGTATGTAACTATAACTATGAATGTATGTGTTTGTAACTATATAAGAATAAGGTTGTGTGTGTGTGTCACGTAATGGCAAATGTCTATCAGTACATGTAACTGAGCACCATGATACTAGAAGCTGAATTCTAAAACAGGCTTACTTCTAAAGTATATAGTTTGTTGACCTTTATAGTTAATGTCTCGTTTCCCCCCCCCAGGCGTCTTTAGGTACCACAAAATATTGCAGTTACTTTTTGAAGAATATGCAGTGTCCTAAACCAGACTGTATGTATCTACATGAATTAGGGGATGAAGCAGCCAGTTTTACAAAAGAAGAGATGCAGGTATGTGTGTTGCAACCCATACCATGAAATATTACTCTAAATGCCTCATATTTCTGATCTGAGCCAGTAAATCAGAATTGAAACTACAGTTTCGATTTCAGAATGTGATTTAGAGAAACCACGATTGAAGTATTTAAGCCAACACATGAGGAGAGTAGGAGGCATGCATACATGCATCATTTTATCTGTATGCCACCTTTCCATAGTTAAAACAATGCTCAAGGGGGCTTCCAACGTGAAAACAAGTACATAGTTACAAATATAACAAAAGTAGTCATAAACAATAAATAAAACATACCAGGAAGTGCACAACCAAATAAAACAATTTCCACCTTAAATCATAATAAGATCTAAAAATAAAGATACAAAAATTATTATCAACAAGAGCAACAACAACAAGACACACACACACCATTCTCCAACCTAAGGGTCTGTTCAGCAGCTTCAGCTTTTGCAACTGGAGTCAGTCAGGGCCCCAGCTTCCCAGGCCAGGTGGAAAAGGCCTGCAGTGCAGGAAGCAGGTCTTCCAGGTCTCACAGCCAAGATAATCCCTGCTTGACCATGGCAGCCTGACAGTTGTTCAGCCAGGATATTTATGTCCAAACTGGCTTGACTGTCTTCTCTGCTCCTTCTTTTTGAAATGGAGATAATGCCCAGGGCTGGATTGAGAGGAAATATAAAGACTTTGAAGCATTCTTGCTGCAGATTTGAAGTTCTATAAACTGAGCTGAGAATAAAAGGTTGCAGTTATGTATTATATGTATTATATGTATTATATGTATTATATGGGCACTGTGGGTTAAACCACACAGCCTAGGACTTGCCGATCAGAAGGTCCGCGGTTCGAATCCCTGCGACGGGGTGAGCTCCCGTTGCTTGGTCCCTGCTCCTGCCAACCTAGCAGTTCGAAAGCATGTCAAAGTGCAAGTAGATAAATAGGTACCGCTCCGGTGGGAAGCGAAACGGCGTTTCCGTGCGCTGGTCTGGTTCACCAGTAACGGCTTAGTCATGCTGGCCACATAACCCGGAAGCTGTACGCCAGCTCCCTCGGCCAATAAAGCGAGATGAGCGCCGCAACCCCAGAGTCAGTCACGACTGGACCTAATGGTCAGGGGTCCCTTTACCTTTACCTATGTATTATATAAATACAATATAATAGTAAATCTCCTACATGGTCATCTAAAGGCAATGGATAATAAAAGCAAAAAATTAAAAACAAAAAACCCTACATTTAAAAGAAAACTGAAAGCAGCACAAATTAGAAACTCATCGCAGAGATTCATTTATCCATCTGTATAAATGAACAAAAATGTCTGCAATAGTTATCTAAAGTGCAGATAGTGGGTGCTTGTTGTACCTCAACAGGAATGCTATTCTGCAGAACAAGGGCCAGAACTCCGAACTCAGATCAACCCCAATAAGTATGGACAGTGGTCAGGGATGATGGGAAACGTGGCCCCCAAGTTCCCTCTCCTTCCTTTAGCTTATCACTCTGCACCTTCTGAGCAGGTTACCTAAGAAACTGAAATGGACATTGTGGGGTACACCTATGAAATGTGATCATTACTATGAATTGTTCTGAGGTTACCTTTCAGTGAAATTAGAAAGGTCTTAACCAGCTTGCAGTGAACTCCCTTACGCAGCAGTGAATTTACATTCTTACGAAACAGGCCAAAATAGTTGTCATAGTCTTGTGATTTGGTGGGACATGGACTAGGCTAGCTTAAAATAACCAAGCTTCTCTTATTTGAACATGAGAAATGAAATTTTGATGTAAAGAAGATTTCACTGCAAATTACCAGGTTGACAGAGTTGCATTATTTTATAACTTTTTTTTTCTACCCCAGGCTGGTAAGCATCAAGAATATGAACAGAAGTTACTCCAGGAATTATACAAGTTAAACCCCAACTTCCTCCAACTGTCTTCAAATGCAGTCGACAAGAACAAGAACAAAGTGACTTCACTACAGAGGTATGATGTGTAAGTAAAGGTTCTCTGCGTGTGCTCTTTAGTTTTCATCAAACCTCCCCCTTTACCCCTCTTTCTAAGCACTCTGCTTCACTGCCTTACTGCTTAAGCCAGCACACTTGACATCTTACTTCCTTTGTATCATTATATAGATGTATGCAGCATTTTCAAACAACTGTTTCAGCAGATGTTCACATTAGTGCATCATTTACAATTGTAAAATAGTATGGTTTGGTGTGAAATAGCAGGACATGTCATTAAACTGGAAATACAAAATACAAGATTTACTCATTTTAAATACAGCACAACATTACTATGAATGTGTGAGTCCACCTTGCCTTTAGAAGGTGAGAATGCCACAAAGGACTCATCTGAAAGACAAAGTTAGTGTAAAATGTTCTGACTCATTGCAACTTAGTTGAGATTTTTGTTTCAATATGTTGGCTGCTAATATGTAGGGTGCAGACTTTGACAGGGTAACATAGATTTATATGTCTGCTTAATGAAAGGTTGCTGAGGGTTTTTTGACTTAGCACCTATCTATTCCAAGTAACAATTTTAAGTGGTTGTCTATTTCTGGAAAAGCTTGCATTACTTAATAGCAGAAACACCATTAATATTTAGAATATGACATAAGGTTTGTGCTTGCAAGATACTTCTTGAGTTTGAATGGTAGTCAGACTACTATTACCTCTGGTTTAGCCTCTTGAAGTATTAATAAGTGAAACCTAAATGAATGGGAAAATCTATTTGTGACTGAACACCTGAACTTTGTGACCATGGCAAATGATTGGTGAACAAGAATTTGCACTCTTTAGATTTGCACTCTTATTGGGGATCCTTTTCCAATAAGATTTCAAGAGCAACCTTGCTCAGGATCCTAAACAATTTTTCCAGTGCCAAATCTTAGCAGATCAGCATTGCCTCTTAAAGGAAAAGACAAATCTTGTATTAAGGAAAGTTGATACTTTGACTCTGGGCAGAACATCAGATCAGTTTTGTCATGTGCAAGCCTCTCATATGGATAATGATACCTTCTTACTCTCTTGGCTGTTGTATTAGTGTGAGCTTTGCAAGAGAAATACCGTTTCTTCAAGAGCATCAAAAGAAATAAACCAAACATGCAAGAGTCAAGTCATGTTTTCTCACAGTGTGGTCTGACCTGATGGAGTCACATCATAAGGCAAGAAGAAACAGCAAGAAGACAATGTCTTTAGAAATGGCTATAAATTTGGCTCTGTCCAGTCTCTGCAGTAGGAGTTTTTCAAGAACTTAATTACCATTCTTACAAAAAAGCCCAAGGTAGATTGGGTATGCATGACCATTCTATCTGGACCATAAAACAAAGTAGAAATAAGCTTACTTCCTACTGGTTCATTCTGAATTGTCTGTGCTGTCTCAGCAGTCTTACATCTCCAGTGATTTATTTTATAAGATCCCAGTAAGCTTGAAAGCTGAAGAAACTGAAAAAAAGTTAGGTTCTTGCTATCCTCTTGTCATCTGTTTTGATGTTTTTTGCCACTCTTTACTGTACATCTAAGTACTTAATCATAGAGTTCAGCTTTGTTCCTGAAACAAGTGTCATCTAAGTGGCAAATAAGTTGGTTCTGCATTCAAAACAGAAAATGCATCTGCTGTATACTTCATGAAGATTTTCTTTCATGATTTATTTTTATTTTTTCTGCTCAAACTTAACTTCCATTGGTCCAGAGAAAAGGCTGTGATTCCCACTGCTTTCTGATTTCATACAGTCCTTGTGGGCAGTAACTTGAAATGCTGACAGAGAAATAGCCAGTTTGTGAGTTCACTCATCAGTTACCGGCATTCAAATCTGGAAGAGATGTAGACAAGAAACTTCTATGTGGGTGTAAACTTTAGAACACGGTAGGCAAGCAGATAAGAATTACATGGCAGACTAATTTTCAACTTGATAAATGGAACTGACGGTGCCATATTTACCTTCTTGTAGTGTCTGCTTTATGGAACCAATCCAGAAATGCATGGAAAGATGAGGAATCAATATAAAAATTGAAAATGCAATCAATTTTTGTTAGTTAGATCAGTGACGCTTGGTTTTAAAAAGCAGGGTGTGTTGTTCCGCATTCATTTTGAGAACTCATAAATTTATGAGGAATGAATGGCAAGACAAGATACACATTTTGAAAAGAGCACAGGTCTCTAAACAATCATTATAAGTTACAGTTCTAAATATCCTTCATTCCTTGCTGGGATGGTGATTTCAAAAATAGGGTGAAACTAAAGGACTAATTAGGAGAAAGAAACATTTAAATTATGTTGATGATAAATATTAATATTTATTTGCATATACATACAAAACCCATCAGGGAATGTCTGTTTAAAGATGTGATTCCCTGCTTCAGTTTACCTTTATTCATCCTCTCAAATAACTTTACACACCAAAAGAACCTTATTTAGTGATCAATGCTTATATTAGCCTGAGTTTTGAAACTTTGGGAATAAATACTTGAAACGAGACAAATTGGGTAACTTAGAACTTAGAACTGGTACAGTGATATTTCAGAAGTGTATAATGCCAGTCAGATGGGGGAAATCCTCAAGGACAAAGCATGGATATAGCATATGAAGGGTAGGGGTAAGATTACTCATAAAACTGGAGAATGTTGGGATGAAAGAACAGTTTAAGGACCACATGTCTTGGTGGGATTCACCTAATTAAAAAACAACAACTATAAGTGTAAACAGCCTGCCTGGTGCAAGAAAACAGTTTCTTTCTACAGTCTTAATAGCAGACACTAACTTTTCTGTTGAAGACCCATATTCCTCTGCACAGTATATGGCATGAGGAATAATTTTCCCAGTGTTTCACTATTAAGATTTTCTACATAACTTGAACTCTCTTTTACTTTCACCTCTTTCCAGACCCAACAGTAATAACAAAGATGCCTGGCCATCATTACAGAGTTCAAGTAAATCAGTCAACGGCTTAACTATGGAACACAGGAAAACGCCTCCTATTTTAGAAAATGGCACAGACTCAGAACACATGACTCCAGATGGTCCAGATTCAGATTTCGGGTAATTGTGCTGCCTTTTATACTTTAGTTAGCTTTCTTTCTCTCTCACTGATGTGGAGGGATGATTCTCTAGCCTCTGTCAAGAGAGCTGGATTCAAGTTAAAATGGTTGGCCTGAACCACTAGGTGATGCCTAGGTGGGGGGACTGCACATTATTTTGCAATGGGCAGTTTGTTCAGGAGAAGTCTGTGTCTAGGCCAGAAGATGATTTTTAAAGGTAAGGGTTGTGGAAAAGGCAAGGCATTTTGAAACAAGTTTCCTTCTGCGTCTGTGTTCTAGCAAACCACGTACCTCACTTCAGCAAACAATTTTTAATGTTCTTTAAGAGAAAAAGTTGCTTAGTAGGAACTCTCATCTTTTAGGTAAGAGTCATTTAGTTAATTGTCTTGAATACTCTGATCTCAGTTGGCAGATCGAAGTACATTACACTCTTCACCCAGGCATTTTGTTAAACAAGTATGGCACTGGATTGAGATCCATCAGCTTTTCCCTCCCTTTAGACTACTAAGACTACTTGAATTTGTGTTTAATATTGCAATATGTCCCTTGCATCATAAGCATCATTGTGGGGCTTTTATCAAGTTGGATTCAAAATGCAAGTTGTATAGCATAGTTGCACAGCATATTATTCTTTTGAATTGGGAATACTGATGTGTACTGTTGCAGTGTGGAAACTGCTTTCTTAGGCTCTAGTTTCCCACCTGTAATAGGTTGAGGTGGGAGAAAGTGGCCATATAAGTTGCCTGACTCCATTGTTTCTTGTTCTAGTGTTAATGAGGCACCAGAACACAGGAAGTTACTTCCATGTTGCACCAGTAATGTATGAGCTGGGCCTAAGAAGCTTACTAGGAAATAGGGTAACTCACTGAGCTGGGCCTAAGAAGATTATTAGGAAATAGGGTAACTCACTGAATACCTTGTATTCTTGCTCTAACATTGACCTAATATTTCAGACTTTATCACTAGAAATCATTGCAGACATCAACACTTTTGGAAGTAGAATGTCAATAGAAGAGCTTTCCTATTTAGAAAAACATCCCATTACCTAATTTTGAAGCTGTCCTGCTGAGAAGAAAGTGATCTGCTTTAGATATTCCATTGTGGATTACCATAGCACTATTGAAATGTTGTAGTAATGCTTTATATGAAGCTAAGCATCTCTTAGGCTCTTGTTTAGTTATGAGCCTGAAAAAATGATCTGAAAATGGTCTACACATCTGTAGTACTGGTTCAGCTGACCAGGATCCAAAAGTCCACACAATGAATAGGACTTTTTCGTCTTTCCCCACTACTGTCTCATCTTCCTCCTCCACCATCCCACAACCACTCCTGAAGGTTAGAAAACATTTCAGAGCAAGATTAACATGGTACAAAAGGACTACAGTTGAAATAAAAAATTGGCAACCTTTCCTCCGTGAGTGGAAGAGCTTTTTACTCTTACCTTAAGAAACTTTTGGTTCCAGCCTTCGCCTGTGGCTAGTCTTATGCCTAAAATGGGCTGATTTGGGACTTTTGAAACCATATTCAGCACTTCCTCTAAGTGGATCATACGTCTAATCCAGATATCAAGATTTTCAGAGGCATGCTATCACAGACTTAACAGGATTTCAAGCCTATTTATTTGTAAAGGGGTTTTGAACATCTGGCAACTTCTATGAAACAGCTGTGTTTCTGGCTGCAGGACTGAAAGACTGCAATATTTCTAATAATGAGAAAAGAATTAAGAAAAAATTAAGTTTTGTGTTTGAATAATTAATTTAAAAGTTTCAGTTCATTATGAGTGTTAAATAATTTTACACAAAGAAAAAACAATCCATTTCACCTAGTTTTATTCCATGCTTTGCTTTAAAATATATATAGTGTTAAGTGGGCTGAAACAATGTAATACACACATTTATATGTTTCCCTCTTTGCCTGTGGACTTAAGATAATTCAACAGATATTGAAAGAGCCGTGTTCTACCAAAACCTCTAAAATGTAGGCTATAGCTGGAGTATAGTGGTCGTTTGATTTTTGAGTTTGTATGACTTAACAAACATAAATTCTTTTTATAATACTTTCTTGTGTTGACTTCCTGCTTCTGTAATTGATTCAGATGAGACTGTATATAGTCTTGGTTATCCAGTCCTATATCATCCACAGACACGTGAAAACAGACATATGTCTATGTCCTTAGAATTAGACTTTATTGTAGGAAGAGTTTGGGAATGACCAGTATAGCTTTGAATAGATCACTAAATTCAGGGTCACACCTCACAAGTATCAATCTTAAAAGCAGGAAGTGATTCTGCTCATTTACACTCAATGGCTGAGATAAAATCAGCAAATGATTTACTTGCCTGCTTGACGCTCCCTCTTTTTCCTTTGTTACCTTTTAAACTGTTAGGATTACTTTGTCATTTAGTTGCATAAGGAATTATGGTGTCTGCAGCCAGAGCACTTTACACAAAGTACTGGAGGCTGCAAAGTATACCATATGCAGGAGATTGGATAGATCAAGTGTGGGAATATGCATTTGTGGCAAAACTAACATGTTTGAGAAAAAAGGAAAGGAAATTGGTCTTGTTTTGTCAAATATTGTAATTTATTCAAATGTCTTCGCTTAACAATCTTACGTTTTAGGGTGTTTGAAATTTTTATGTTTAGTGCAGAAAAAGAAAATATATTTATTGTTTTATTTATGACTATTTTAATAGATGCTCACTTGGTTGACATCTTAATTGAGCTATCCAGTTTGACCCCAAGATCTCCTTCCTGATCAGTCACAACCAATTTGGACCCCATGAGTGTATATGTAAAGTTAGGGGTTTTTGCTCCACTATGCATCACTTGCAATTTCTTTGTTTTTAATACTCTGAACAACTTAGTGTCATCAGCAAACCAGGTCACTTCTGTACTTGCCCCTAACTCCAGGTCATTTATGAACAAGTTAAAAAGCACTGGTTACAGTACTGATTTTTGCATTCCCTATAGAGGAAGAACCGTCTATTTATTCCTGCTTTCTGTTACTTAACCAGTTGCTCATCCATAAGATGACCTGTCTTCTTTTCCTATGACTGCTAAACTTGTTCTAGGTTCTTTTGGTGAGAGAATTTATCAAAAGCTTTTTGAGAGTCTCAAGTATGCAATGTCAACTTGGATACCTCTGCTTACATGCTTGTTGACACCCTCAAAGAACTTTAGTGGGTTGGTGAGACAGGACATACTCTTGTGGAAGCCATGCTGCTTTTGCTTCAGCCTGACTTGCTCTTCTGCATGTTTGGTAATTCAATTTTTAATAATTCTGCCCACCAGTTTTACTAGATTAATGTTAAGTTAAGCTGCCTATAATGTTCCAAGTCCTAGCTGGATTCTTTTTAAACAATAGATGCTAGCTACATTGAACAGTTTCCAGTCCTCTAGTATGGAGGCTGATTTTAGGGGCAAATTACATATTTATATTAGAAGATCAGCAATTTCACATTTGAACCACTGAGGAAGCTCACTTGTGTAACCCAGATGCTTTGGTCATTGGCTGTGAGATGCTTTCAGTCTTAAAGTTACATAGCAGGCAGATATTTTCTGAATATTTGCATTTGTCCATCAGTTGATGTCCAGTGGCTTACAGCAACACCTGCTGAGTTTGTCAACAAGATGGTGACAGTATATTATTTTCCAGTTGAACTGCCATATCAGCCAATTCATTTTCTAGCATCTTGGTTTCTTCTAGTGTCTCAAATGTTAGCCTTACTTAATACTGCAGGTTGTGCTAGCATACATTTGCAGTCTGAACCCAGCCAGTGCACCTTCCATCATGCATGCCTGGCCTCATCCCCTTCGCTCACTTAGCTTTTGACAGCACCTGATCTGGTATCTCTCCTTGTCCTGCTGTCACCATTCCTTCCTCAACTCATTCTTTTCATGGTTTTTGTAATTGCTGATCTTATTCCAAGTTTTGTGTTGTCCTTTCCTGGCTCTTCCTGTTGCTCTGCTGTTCTGATTTTGGGTGAGTGGATGCATAAGCGGCTGGAGCTTCAGTTTTGTCTCCTGTTAAGTGGGAGGTTGTGACAGCATTCCTATTGTCTTGAAACTGAAGCAGCACAAAGGAGAAGTGAGCTTTTCTGCTGTGGTGAATAGTTTTATTGGTTCATTCACTTTCTATTTTACCTTTATTCCTTTTGCCTCTTCTCTTTCTTTCATGTCTCTCCTCTCTTTACAACTCAGTGTACTGAAATCTAAATTGGGGAGTCCTCTGGGCTCCATCAATCTCAAGTTGAGCACAAAGCTCTTATAAATAGATATGGTGCCTGCTTCATGGACACCAGTTTAATGTCGGGGGCTGATAGTAGGGGCAATAGACAAACTTTGATTGCTGTGAGGTTACACTGAGTAACAATGAACAAGCAGAATGTGCAAGATGGAGCTAATCAGCATGTTGTCAGTTATCTCCATGAACTAGGTTTTCTAAAATTATTTTTTAAATTAATTCCTACAGTTTCAGGCCATCAGGCTGTGTCTTTTACATTTGCCTAATAGTTTTTCTTTCTCTCTAGCACTATCGACAAACCTTCAGATTCTCTCAGTATAGGAAACTGTGATAACTCGCAGCAGGTAAGATTTGAGAACCAACACTTCTTAACTCTTGCCAACTGCATACCCTTATATTTGCAAAGGACTATATTGTGTGTTGAAATATTTATTTGCCATAATCTTAAATATACCTTCCTGCCTATCAGCTGCATAAGATGGTTGCTTGATTAAAACTTTATACTAGCTGTAAAAACACATGTTATTTGGAAATGACCAAATGGTTGTTAAAAGAAGAAACTGTTATTTACTATACAATTGTAAAACTGTTTGCTTTTTCTTTTTAGATATCAAATAGTGACACACCTTCACCACCACCCGGCTTATCAAAATCCAATTCAGTCATCCCCATCAGTTCATCCAATCACAGTGCACGGTCTCCCTTTGAAGGGGCTATAACAGAGTCACAGTCTCTCTTCTCGGACAACTTCCGGCACCCCAACCCTATTCCAAGTGGACTCCCTCCATTTCCCAGCTCCCCACAGACTTCAAATGACTGGCCGATGGCACCAGAGCCACAGAGCCTCTTCACATCAGGTATAGTATTAGTTAGACAACCCATGCACACAATAGCTTGAAATAATATCTTCAGGTGCTTACATTTACTTACAGTTTAGCATGAACTTGACAGTGCTGCTCAGTACTGCTCCAGTTTAAAGAACTTGTGAAAATGTCACAATTATTATTTTGTAAAGTGCTTTACTTTTTTCATAGATCGTGGAAATGTAGATTCAAAATAAAGATTCAAAATAAATAAATAAAACCTTACATAAATCATATTTTGTGCTTGTATGCATATGGTCATTGATGCTAATGAGCAGTCAGACCAATAAGAACATTTTGCTTAAAATTGCAAGTGGTGAGACATTTTAATTAGTAACTGAACAGTTCTTCTCAATCAAGTTCCTTCATGTAGACATCTCTAGAATTATCTAGCCTCTAGCAAGGAATATATGCAGTGGAAAGAGTGGTTTCTTACATGTAAAAGACGAAGAAGTGCTACTGTAATGTGTTGCAGAAGGTGGATGGGAAATTCATAGGGTTGGATCTTGAAAACCATGAGGTGCTTCTGCCAGATTTTTCAGCAACTTCCCTAGTAGGCCCACACAGCCTCCACCTCAGCTTTCTGAAGGGGCTTGTTACCTTCGGGAGCAGCTTTTCAGGTGAGACAGAAATGTGAAATTCCCAAGTAGAGGATCAGTTTAGAACTATAGGGAAGAAAAATGCAAAGATAAAGAAAGTTGCTTTCTTGGTAACTGTACACCACTAGAACATAAAGGGTATTGTGAGCTTTAATCTAAAAACCAGTTGCCCCTGGAATAGGATTCCCCAACCTGTTACTCTCCAGATATTTTGGACTACAACTCCCAGGACCAATGGGAATTATAATGCAAAACATCTGGAGGGTACCAGGCTGGGGAAAACTGCCATAGGAATGAGAATAACCAATTATTGGAAAGGGAAATCGGTCAGTATTTTGACTCATATTAAGCTGGGGAAAATGCAAGTTTGTCGTTAATAACCTGTTTTAAATCCCACAGAAACCATCCCAGTATCCTCGTCTACAGACTGGCAAGCGGCGTTTGGATTTGGTTCTTCCAAACAGCAAGAAGATGACTTGGGGTTTGATCCCTTTGATATCACCCGCAAAGCCTTAGCAGACCTGATCGAGAAGGAACTGTCGGTCCAAGACCAACCCTCCCTCTCGCCCACGTCTCTCCAGAACCCTTCCCCACACACTACAACCGCCAAAGGGTCAGGCTCTGGATTTCTGCATCCTGCTGCGCCCGCAAATGCCAACTCTCTCAATAGCACATTTTCAGTCTTGCCACAGAGGTTCCCGCAATTTCAACAGCATCGAGCAGTTTACAACTCCTTCAGTTTTCCAGGCCAAGCCGCTCGCTATCCTTGGATGGCCTTCCCACGCAATAACATCATGCACTTGAACCACACAGCAAACCCACCTTCAAATAGTAATTTCTTGGACTTAAACCTCCCACCACAGCACAGCACAGGTCTAGGAGGGATCCCTATAGCAGGTAAGTGCGCTGAGAAAGCATCAGTGAGCCTTGTTCATGCCTTCAGCTTCTCTAAATCAGAGTAGCGAGAAGGGGTTGATGGTATTTGGTACTGGAATTGATAATGTAACTATCATGATGGAAATGTGTTTTTATGCATTTTGAAAATGAAATGTTTAGCTTGGAATTTAGCCTTATAATGAGCTTTATAAGGAAAGTGGAGTATCATATGTCCAATCATCCTTATTTCAAAAGTGATTTTATGATTTACATTGACAGTCTTGATCATGCTGTGGAGTTGATCTTTATTTTAAATATATAGTTTACTTAATTGCAGAAATAGATTACATTTTAACTTTTTTTAAAAAATGAATTCTTCAGTCCCGGTTCATGATGCTTGGCACATATGGCAGGAAAAAGCTATTTTTTTATTTATTTTTTGAAGTATTTGTATACTGCTTTCATACAATATATATCCCGGGGTACTTGCACTTTCCAAAGTCAGCAGAATGGATAACTCAGTTACAGTGATTAACATTCAGTTTCCTTTTCACTCAAATCTTTTTTAAAAAAATAATCTAAAATGCCTGAGAGAATAAAAATGCCCCAACTGGATGTCTGAAAAACAACAACATAGGCACCAGATGAACTTCACTGGGGAGGGAATTTATCAACCAAGGTGCTGCCAATGCAATAGCCATATCTTTTCTCTCCATTGCCATTTGAACTCTACCATCTTCAATTGTATCTGAAATCTTACATTGATGAGCCAGTAAATTTAAAATTGTGCAAAAAATATTCTTTATGATCCCGTATATGAAGCCATCTGATACCTATACCATTCACTTTAATCCCTTGCCCTTCATTTTTGTAACATTTCACTCCAGCTGGCATTATTGTTTCCCGCTGGAAGAGTGTACTTCGTAGCTGACACACACAAGACTTTGTGGCATAGCAAGCATCACTTCATGATAATACCTTTTGGAATTTTAGAGCAAACTTCAAGTAACCTGTTCCTTCCATCATAACTTGCAGTGGTCTTCTCCTTGGGATGTTTTGGGTTTACAGACCATATCTTAAACAGTGTGGATAATATTGTTCAGTAATAGCACCTTTTTATTTCTGTAAACTAGTTTTCCTGTGCTTTATTTTTCTTGGCTACTGTAACAATTATTGTTTTTTTTCTATTCTCATTATGATTCACTTAAAACATTTATATACCATCCATTTCTTACTGATAGTGACTGCTTATGTTAGTATTTTGGGAATCCAGAGGATTTGCAGCTTATCATAAAATCTGTAACATGGTCACAACACCTGTCTCTTCATTCTGGTTACAAAAGCATTTCTTTGGCACTTTAGTCTTAGCTTTGACTCTGGCTTAGATATATAGTTTGAAAATGGAAAAAGCTAGTAATTATGTCAGGATATAAAAACATGCAGAGAAGCATTTCAGATTCTCCATGTGACCCAGAAAAGATGTCCGCTAAGAGCCCTCCCATTCATATTCCATTAGATAAAAGGGGCCATCACTGAACTTAACAATCAGCTGTGTTAGTGTGGAAGTGATGTTTGAATGTGTGAAGTCTCTGAACTCTGGCCTAGCCTGAAAAATCCATTTCCTGCTCTTCAGTAGAAGAGAAGTCTAGAGCGGTGGTTCTCAAAGGGTGTGGCACATCACATTGGTGTGGCCAGAGAAGATGGCAAGGGTTGCAGGAAGATTCAAGGGCAATCAAAGAAACACTTAACCATTTCAGTGTAGTATCGTGGAGTATAGTATCATTCATTCATTCATTCATTTATTTGCAAAATATGGATAGATACCTTTTCAAAATCAAGCACTGCCAGGAGTTGTTTCTTTTTGTTCTCCAATTTATTTCTTATCAATAAAAAAAATCAGTGTGGCGTGAGCAATTTTTTATTTTGAAAGTTGTGGTCCTGAGAAAAAAGTCTGAGAACAATGAGTCAAAACCACCTTCTAAATACGTGGTATATTCTGAAGTAGAGTGTTGTAGTGTAGTTGAATGTAATATGTTTCTTCCCCCTTTGATTTAGTAAACATTATGCTACTTGTAAAATTTGTTTCTTTCACTCCCATGTTTTTTCTTGCAAAAACTCTGTGGGCTGAGAAAGACTGGTCTAGTGAGCTTCACAGATGAGTAAGGATTTGAATCTACTACAATGCTTTGACTACACCACACAAACTCTTTAGGAACTCTGAACACAACCTACAGAAAACAGTATTTGCTAATTTACTTACTTAGATTCTTAGCCTGTGCTATTCAGAGGCTTGATTCAAAAATAGATCTTTGAAGCTCTTTATTGTAGTAGTGGTCATAGTTGCTTTAGGGATGCTAGAAGACTAAAACAATGCAACTAATATTATGAAGTATAAAGCTTCTGCAGTAAGTTGTACCAGGGACAGGCAAGTTGGTTGTATGGCATAAACAGCTTGTGCTGAAAAGCATTCATCTCTTTATGCGTGCATGTGAAAAGTTTATCAAAAAATGAAAAGCCTGGGATTTCCAATTAAGTGTAGTAAGTTTAGTAATTGCTAAGGCAACTTGGAAGTTGTGACTAGTTACCATTCCTTGCTAGGTTATGGATATTTTGATGTTGAAAACGTTGTTTCTAATGAGCATTCTAGCAGCTTTCAATATCTTAACTTTCTGCATATTGTATTAACCTTCCCCTTGACTCTCTTGAAGAAATGTCTTGGCTTTATGATGTATGTGCCTATTAGTTTTCCATTTATGCGCTCCATTTTAGGAGAAGACAGATGTCCTTAAATAATTACCGTATTTTTTGCACCATAGCACTCACTTTTTTCCTCCTAGAAAGTAAGGGGAAATGTCAGTGCGTGTTATGGAGGGAATGCCTACGGATGGCGGGGGAATCTGCTGCAGTCGTGAGCAGAGGATCCATGGTTCCCCTTCCTTTCCTCCTCCGTGGCTCGCTTTGAAACAGCAAAGAGGGAGAAGAGCCGCTGAGTGGGGAGGAGAGAGGGACAGAGAGCCTGCTTCTTTAAAGGAGCAAAGCGGGAGAGGAGAGGAGCCGCTTACACGAGTGTAAGCGGCTCCTGTCCGGTTGGCTTCTTTAAAGCAAGCAGGCTCTCTGTCCCTCTCTCCTCCCCACTCAGCTCGCTAAATAGCAGCAAAGTTTTTCAGCTCGCTAAGCTGGGGATGAGCGGGGAGGAGGGAGAAAAGCAGAGCCTGCTTGCTTTAAAGGAGCAAAGTGGGAGAGGAGAGGAGCCTTCTCCCCTTATACCCTTCTTCTTCATTATTAGCAGCATCCTTCTCCACCCACCACACATGTGCTTCTTCTCCCCTTAAACCCCTCTTCTGCATTATTAGCAGCATCCTTCTCCACACACCCCACGCGTGTTCCTTGTCCCTTGAGTGCTTTTCCTTCCCTCCCCACTTAAAACGTGGTTACAAAGCATGGATCCACATGGATCCTCAGGATTTTTGCACTGGGTCACCCCAAATTCACTGTCAGATCACATGTCTGTGGCCACAGCATGAACCACAAAAATCATACATCCACTGTTTTGTTTAGAATATTTTTTTCTTGTTTTCCTCCTCTAAAAACTACGTGTGTGTTATGGTCGGGTGCGTGTTATAGAGCGAAAAATACGGTATGTCATCTCTAACAGAGCTTCTACCTTTCTGAGGCATAATATGCATGAAATATTTTTTGCTTTGCCCTTCTCCTGAATTTTGCACCTTTCTTATTGGATAAAAAATCTTTCTTGGCTTTTAGATTGGTCTTTGATGTACTTACTTTTTTAACTAAACTATATATTTTATTTACAAATGGTGGACATCAGGCATCACTGACTTAGCCATCAATGTGAGAAAGCTATCTTCAGATAGTTTAACAAATATTTTAGTAATTATTGACTTCTTTTTAAATCATAGGAACAGTATTTCCCAGTGGAAATACTGTTTTCAGCAGTGCTAAACTTGATTACAAGGCCAAATACACTGAATATGTTATCTAAATTAAGTCATAATATAATTAGGAGTTGCAAGAGTTTTTTATATTAGTGTGGGGATTTTACCTGCTAATTCAGGGTCAATATGCAGAAAGGAGGAATTTTTTTGAATTTGCTGTTGAATTTTATGTTGGCGAGTTGCATAGTATGTGCTACTGAACTCTCAGTGTTGTTACATTACATATTAATTTTATTTATTAAAAATATTTATATACCACTCACATGCAAAATTTCAGTGCGGTGTACAGCAGGATCTACAAAAGAGATAAAATACAATTAACAGCAATACAGAATAATTGTAAAAATGACTGCCTCATCTTAAAAGTGTAAACCATTGAATAGGACTGGCAACACATAAAAATCTTCAAGAGATGTCTGAATCTTAGAAGTGAGGATGCCTGCCACATCTGCTGGAAGAGAATTCTCCAGTGGGGGACCAACAGCACTAGATGCCTAACGTCTCATCAAAAGCAGTTGGGCTATTGAAACAACTAGCATCACTCCTCCAGATCTCAATGATCAAACTGGCATATAAGAACTCAGGCAGCCCTTAAGGTACTCAGAATCCAAGTTGTTCAGGGCCTTCTATATTAATATAAGAGGCTTGAGCCTTGCCCTGTAACATGGGCAGCCAGTGCAGATATTTTAGCAGTAGTATTACATGTTGCCCACCACCTCTTCCCATCAACTATCTTAGGTGCTGCATTCTGCCCTAGCTGGAGCTTCTGGATCAATCCCAAGGGTGGCCCCACATAGAGTGCATTTCAGTAATCTAGTCTTGAGTGCATGGTCTATGATGGCCAGGTTATCCCCATCCAGATATGGCTGTAGCTGACCAGGTGAAGCTGGTAAAAAGCCCTCCAAGCAAAAAAGGAAACTTAGACTTTGGTTGACAAAGATGTATTCAGCTGTACCTCCAATCTATGTGCCTGCTCCATCAAAGGGAATGCAAACCCTGCCCTCCAGGGACAAAGCAGTGCCTGGTGGAATCCTATCGCATAAGTGCTAGGAGGCCAAAATCACTCTCCCCCCCACTCCCCAGTTCATTTCTGGATTTGACCATGCAGGTAGGAACGAAACCATTGTGATACAATGCCTTTTGATACTCATCCTGCTCAATGGTGTCAAAAGCCATGGAGAGATCTAGTAAGAGTAATAAGGGTCACACTTCTCTGTCCTTCTCTTGATAAAGACCATAAATCAGGACAATTCAGTCTTAGAAGCAGGGGACACATTGAAGTGAATCCAGATAATCAGTATCATTCAGGAATACTTGGGAGTTGCTCTGCCACCACCTTTGGCACCACCTTCCCAGAAAATTAGCCCATTATGTTTCTAGGCTCTTCCAGTGTTGTATCATCATTGACTTTTGTGAAATGTGTGGACTGCTTCAGAAGATAATTAAATGGCATCAGTCTTGCAACTCATCCCTATGGAGCTCCTCGTGTAGAATATGATGCGACTTCCTTCTTGTTCTTGAGTGCATCTTTTCTTCCAAAGGAATGACTAAAAGAAGTATTGGGTGTTTTGTTTTGTCATTATGTATTATGTATATATATATGTACATAGTGTTTTATAGTTCTACCTGTTTTTTTAAATATTCACATGTATAACACATTTGTACCCCGCTCTTCAGCCGTAAAAGCTCCCAGAGTAAAAAGCAAGGCATTTACTGCCCACAGGCTTACAATCCAAATGATACAACACAAAAGGACAAGGAGGGAATGTGTTGATCACTTTTTAGATGTCAAAGCAGCTGGCCCATGTATTTGGTCTCAATGTGTAACTCTTATGTTATTGTGAGCTTGCTTTACTACACTTCAGGGACCTTCAATGGACTAGCTTGCCTATTAACAGATTAGAAATGAACTTGGTTTCCAGTGGCTGAAACCCAGCAATGTCCACTAGAGACATTTTGTTTTTCTGGTTCATATTTTTCAAGCTTCTGTTCTGAGTTCTGACACTTGACTGGAAGCCTTCCTAGTTAACATCTGCTAATAGCCAGGTGGTCATGTTCCAACCTCAGTGTAAGCTACATATGTGCAGGGTTGGATGTTTGCCGAAGACATTGCGGCAGGTTATAGCCACAATGCCATTGTATGTCATGATCTCTAGTAATAGAGGGGATGCTGGCATATCGTTTGGACCTCCAAAGGTGAGCTGGGTCTGTCATATATTGTCCAGTAAAGTATGTGCACTGGACCTTGCATTCATTTTACATTAGACTATTTATCTCTGTTAATTAGTTCCTTTCCTGTCAAGTTAACACAATATTATTCTATTCAAAGACTTTAAGGTGATTCACATTGCCATGCTTTGCATTTGCATCTTTAACATATGCTTAGGATCTGAATTTATTGCAAATATTAGATACTCCAGCAGGCTTTCTTGATTTCATTTCCATTGAGGGACCAAGTAGGTAGGAAAAAGGAAAGAACACCGGTGAAGATGAGGCCCAAGTTCTTACAGAAATATATTTTATTTCCTGTTTTTCTGTATCTTCTCACTATCATCATTTCTGCCAAACTAAAATAAAAGTGAAAATCAGATTATTGTGTTCAAAGAGTCTAAGTAAAATTAAAGCATTAAAATTCTGAGCTGAACAAGAAGAGGGCTTCCCTAGGCACAGTTTTATCTTTAGTATGATAGTTCATAAGGATCATCACCATCATACCTGTTCATTTTATGACCTTTTGTGTTGATACCTTGTCATGCTCGCTTTTGTCTGTTTCTGCCATTTCTCCATTGCCAGTATACTTAGCAAACATTTAATTTAATTATTGCTGTTAGGGAAATTACTGTGCTCAAACAGATAGCTAGCCCACAAGAGGGCAATCAGTGAGGATCTTGTATTCTCACGACTTTCCTGTTTCCTCCCACAGAATGTTGATTTATTTGCTGGAATATATGTGTCCATATCTTATGAATGTGGCAGTATCTGTCAAGAAAGTCCTGTCACTTTGGGGGCATTGCAGATCAAGAGCAATGCTTAAAAATTAAGATATTACAGCAGAGCTTTAGAATAGAACTAGCTAGTAAATCTAGTTACCAGCACATAGAGATGTTAACGGAGAGATCACTCATTTTACTCTGCTATATTTCTATCAAATGTCAGGTCTAAAAATGGGAATTGATTACCTCCCAATAGCAAAAAAAGCAAAAGCTAAATTCTGTGTTCTATTCTTTATAGTCCATGTTCTGTTTATCTGACCTTATGAAAAGCGGAATCTGGATTCCAGTCTTTTCTTACAGAGCGCAGTGGTCTGCTGCTCTACATAATGGCTTAATAATTGTTACTAAGCACACAGTAGTGTTTAGGCCACTTTATTTACAAGTCCCTGAAGGCTTCGGTCATGATCCAGAGCTGCACGCACAATTGACTTACTTTCTAAGTTTCCCTTTCAAGTACTCCCCTTGCTTTACTTAAAAACCATTTCCGCAAAGTTTGGATGTATTTGTAAGATCTGTTCAGCATTTCTCCAAGGTTCCATTTCAGTTGCTCTCATGCCAAAGCACGTAACTTGTTTCTAAACACACTTAAAGTTTAAATGCTCTAACAGCATTCGTAACACACAACATATGTGGTGTGTGTGTGTGTGTGTGTGTGTGTGTGTGTGTATCCTGTCTATATTTTACTTGGATCACAACCTTAATTTAGAATTTGCAGGGAATGTAATTCCACACCCCGAAACTCTTCCCTTTTTCTGAAACTCTTCAGTTTGAATTGTAATAAATGTAAAACACAACATAAAATCAGAATGACATATTTAAGGGTATGTTCACTGGTTTACAGAGTAACTGTGATGATGCAACTAAACTGTGGTATGAGAAAATATTTATTTCTGCTCCAGTGCATTTGGGTTTTTTAAGTGAAATGCTTTGTTTTTCCTGTTCTCTCAGCTGCTTTTTTATATTAAGCAACCTGTATACTTTCCAAGTCTTGTACATATACAGCGGTATCTCAGATTACTCATTTGAACTTCAGTATAACTAAATCCTAAACTAGAGATGGGCAGTTGATGGGCCACAGTTGTGTTTTGGACAGACTTCCCAATCCCAGGAAAGTATGTGTATATAAAGATATCTGCATACTAGGCCTTAGCCCTTTTCCCGGCATATCTTTTCAGACCTTGTTAATTGCTGCTGCTTATGCTGTATAAATACCAAATTCCATATGAGTTGACAGTTCATAGCTACTTCAATATTATTAGATGTCAACATTGCTGATATTAAGATTTGTAAGGAGATAGTCTAACAAAGGAAAATTACAATGGCATGATTGCTGGCTCAAGCTCAAAAGTGAAGACACTTTCTATATGAATATGAAATGGCATCTTTATTTTGTCTTGATGATGCCTAGGGGCTTTTAAGGGATTTTCCTAGGTTTCAGTTGTGTGACTCGGTTTCATAGAGAAATATATAGTAAGGAGGATTTCCTTATTTGATAATCTTACTCAAAATGATGCTGAAATGTGAGTCTAAGAGAATTAACAGTATTTTGCGCATCATTCACTGAAAGAGAAGTGTACATCTGAATTCAGCTTTGGTCAGGTTAGTTCTAAGGGGCACCTAGGTTGTAGATCTGCTCTGTAAGGTGCTGGAGAAGTGTCCCACTATCCAGCTGCCTGACAAATTCTGAAGTAGAGAGCTAGAATATCAGAGTTGGGGCTTTCTACATCTAGAGCATGTACTTTACACTTTTGCTAAACTAAACTCAAACCCCATTTCAAAGGTCTGCTTATGTCAGTACATCCAGGTTGCTATACTACCATGGAGGAGTTTGGTTCCAGAGCCATGTAAGCTTTTATTGTGACCCTCTTACCTATTGGGATATTTTCCTGTAAGACAGCATCATGTTGTGTTTTATTGATCCTAGTTTAAAGTGAAAGGTGACACAGGTAAGCAGTATTGGACTGTTTAGCTATGTTACACCGTAGAGTAACTTACAGAATTGAATTGTCTTTTTTATCATTTTAGATGTCAAAATGCTTTTGTTATCTAATGAAGTTCTTACCAAATATAAAGCTCAAAGACTACCTGGGAACAGGTCCCAGAATTAAATGTCTACATTTACCATGAGAATTGAAGGGCAAAACACTTCAAAAAGAGAGCCATGAAATGCAGAATAGCTATCCAAAAATGGTGATGGCTGCTTGCTGCACGTACGTAGCAGTAGAAAACAAGTGTTTTCTACAATGTAACTTGTGGAGCAGCTTTCAGAATTTAGTACAAATGTACTTTACATTAAAAGTCTCCTTTATCTGCATATCTGCTAAGGGGGTTTATATTGCTAAGATACATTTTTTGTTTTGTTTGTAAAGAGTGTATTGTTTGAAAAGATTGCACAAACCGCCAGTGCTGGACTGCCGGCGCCTTGTCCGTTTTTCCTATGTTGATGTATTTTGAAACCCCTATGAAGTTTTTTCAGTACATTAGTTGTCATTGAAATAGTAATATTGAAGGGAAGTATTTTTAAATTATTCAGTTATTCCAGAAAAAAAACTTTAAAGCTCTCTGAGATGCAAAAAACAGAACCTACTGAGTACTAAAACCCTTTTCTCTGTGTGAGCATACCACTTTGCTCTATACTGCTGGTTTATCTCATTCAGTATTAGCAGCAACATCTCCAGGGCAGTGTTTTCTCAGCTCTGCAGTCTGAGTTCCTTGAGATGTTGGGGATTGAACCTTCTGCATGCAAAGCAAGTCCTATACTACGGCCCCTGGCTCTCCCTGGGCATGGCAGAATACAGGGCGTCATACTAGATTTTCCTTTCCTTTGGACCAGTCACTTCCCATTCATTGGTTCATAGTCTTAGTCCTACAAAATAACTGGCCATGCAAAACCTGCTTATTATCAAAGGAGTTTCCATGTACAGTATGTACCATATTTAATGGTATGATGTGTTCTTGGTATGTTTAATAATGGTATGTTCTTGGCGGAATAGTCAGCCCTGGTCTGTAGGGTGAAGACATCAGGTGTTAAACACCATCTAACCCCAGGATCATTGGGTGGAAGAGTGTTTGAAATGTAATTGTTTCTGGAATGTTTTTAACTGAAACTACTCAGTGCACAGAGCAAGCATTGTAAAATTCAGTAGAACTTAAGCTCTACAGGAGAAAACTAGTCGAGAGTAGGAGCCTATGGACACATGATGTTCCTGATGGTTTAACCATGGCTAAACAAAAGAACTGTTCCTAGAATCACTTATCATGAGCTGCATTCCCCTCTTTGCAGGAATACTTACTCAGCAGCAATAAAAGGTGAGGCTCAGTCATCCTCCAGAAGGTAGGAGACAAAGGAGAGCATGATCTCTTACCCTATTCATACCAATTGACTATGGTTAAACAATTGGAAAAGTTACATGTGCATTGTCAAGAAGTGTGGAATGAAGCATAACGCTGGCCATGAGTGTGAAATGAAAATTTTAGCCTCTGCATAAATTGGCAGCTGGCCAGTTTACGTGGTGAATCTAGAGCCATCAGAGGTAGTATTCATAGGGAGTGTGAATGAACCAGAACCCTTTCGGTCTTTTCACTGTGTGCCAGACCGGTGTACTCCTATATTTCTCATTTTTACAGAAGTCAGTTTGAATAAGGCATTGCTAACTAGTGTTAACTTCCACCAGTCCACCAGTAGTAACAGCTTCTGTTGTGATGCCTCCTTTCCAAAGCTCTTGGGTTATTTTTATTTTATTATATTTTTTTATTATTTATTAGATTTATATACCGTCTTTCATCAAAGGACCTCAGTGTGATTCACAAGATAAAAATAGATGCTTTAAGAGATGACGATAATCATTTTAACTTGGAGGAATACTTTACAGCTGAATCTTAAAATAAGCTGAGGCTTACTGAGCGGTGTACACATTCTAACTTACTGCAGGTAGACCACGAGATCACAGCCCCTTTAGCATATATTTTTTTCATTTTATTTTTTAAAAAGACTTCTATATTCCCTCTGGCATTACACTGCACAGGTGAATTATAGACTTTAGATAGCAGATGAGATGGTTAAGTGCCTTGAATATTTTATAGAAAGTTGGGCCTGGCATCAGTACATGATGTGGTCAGTCAGATGCTGGAGCCCAAAGGGCCCCAGCTGAGTCCACTGCTGCTCTGGGCTGGGCAAAGTTATTCTGTTTTGCCATTCTGCACTGCTGAGGAGCTGGAGCAATGGCTATATACTGTCAGCGCTCTCAAAGTAGTATTGCTTCAGAATAATGCCATAACAGGAAAATGGGTGAGGAATTAAAATAGACTTCAGCGCTCTCTGCAGTCACTCTACTTCTATCTGCACCAAGCAGCAAGGAAAAGTTCTTAACTAAGCAGACTCATAATTCCACTCATCCTTTGCTTTTCAGTGCTAAGGAGCTCTGAGCAGTTGCAGCAAAGGAGCCAGTTTAATTGCTTTCCCGTGCCCCTGATACTGTGCTGATTCCCAGTGATGCTATGTCAGGGACTTTGGGAAGGGATTAAACAGACAGCTTCCTGACTTACTGCAGTTGTTCATAACTCCTCTCACCACTGAGCAGAATGGAGGGAGAGGACTGCTTAAATGGCCCACCTGGGCTGTATAGGGACCCTTTAAAGATTTGCTTGCTCTGGTGGAGTGCCTAGCAGTCTAGAAGAACAAATGAGCTGTCTGTTTTGTGTCCCATATAGCAGCTCTCTGGAGCAATACCAAATTGGGGTCGTAGAGAAATGCACAATAACAGCTTCACACTGCATACCTCATTCTCCTCTCTGAGCCACCACTGCTGTTGATGCCTCTGCTGCAACTCTGGACATCCCTGTCAATAAGTCCATCAAGGGTATGGCCATTGCAGGGGACACTATAGCCACTTCCCCTAGGTCCCCTTCATACGTTTAGCTGGCTTTGGATGGAGTATAAATGTTGGTGATGGATTGTGATAAACCTGTGTCTGTCCTTCATTACCTCTGATTGTGCATGATGGGGGTGGGGGAGAGGTGGGGCGGGGAGGTAAGATTCCCCCATGGAAAATTCATATGCATAGGAAACTAGCCTTTCGGGGAGAAGGCTGACTTAGAGCCCATCTCTCTGGCGCCTAGTTTTGTGTGCAGGGACTTTTTTTGCATGGAGGAGCAGTTGTTTCAGCAAGCTTATATCTGCTGTCTGAAATGTACAGTTGAGACACAGATTAGCCACCTAATTTGCTGTTTCTTAGAATTAAGTCTTAGGTGTTGCAGGATTACTGTGTCCCACCATCTGGCTTTGGTATAAAGCATCTGACAGTGAAGAGCTTTGAACTATTGAAACTATCAGAGAGAGTTTGATAGTTTGTCGTGTATTCAGAAGTCCTGAATGTGTGCTAGAGAAGGGTTTACTAAAGTCCATTCTCCTATGAATCTGTGTTTGAATTTATTTGAACTAGACTGCTCCAGTCTGCTGGATTTTGGTATGTCATAATGTATCACCTCATGTCTGGGTTTTCATCTCCATCTAGTGGTGGAAAAGCAGAGAATTGCTACCTGTGAGATAAATATGAGTCTAGTATCTTAGATCAGCTATCTTCAACCCTTTCAAATCCAGGATCTACTTTTAATTCAAACATGCATTTTGGGATCCATTACTTAATTTTTTACCATATATCTGCATGATGGTTGTGCTTCTGTTGCAACCTACCTCGGATCAGTCCACAACTTACTGGTGTCTCCCAACACACCAGTTGAAGATCAGTATATTTGGATTAATGCTTCAGGATTGGGATTTTGTGCCAGTTCCAAGCTGCTGACAGCCTCATGAGGAGCATACATTTCTTTAAAAGATGCTTTGACTAATATTTTGATCATGTGAAAACTGAGACTATAGTTGAAAATGCTCTTTTGCAATATTTAGCTTTCCCCTATAAATTTCTGCCATAGTTCTTGGAAATTCACAGAATTTGGATCTTTGTGAGAAGGAGGTTTTTATTTCTCCTTTTATTCACCACAGCTGAGGAACGAACAGAGAAGCTTTCCAAGTAAAATTGCTTGAATTGCATGTTGCCATACCGCTTAGCATCTTCTACTGTATTCAAATAAAAAATGGGTTGTTTGCCCTATTTATTTATTTCTTGGGGGTAAAGAGCAGAATTTCCATTTAATGTGCAGGTTTAGGGGGTGACCACTGAGAAAATAATTAACTTTCAGTAATGATTCTTCTGCTCACTTGGAGTAAGCCTTATTGAACATAGACTAATGAGAAAACATGAACAAGGTGAGGCTACATGATAATTAATATTGAAATATTAATATATTGGTGCAGATTATGTTTGAATTATATTTATTAAAGATACAATTAGTCAAAGGAAATTTAAGTATTCTAAAAATAGGATGGTATCAGATTAAGTCATACTCAGACCCACTGAAATCAGTGGACTTAAGTTAGTCATATCCATGTCAGTGAGTCTACTCTGAGAATGACTTGGTTAAATATGCCCCATACACTTCAGTTGAAGAATGTCAATTTTATAACAATATAAAAACCACTGTTGCTAATCTTCATTTAATTAATTGCATCAGCTTAATTTCTTAACTACTTGATCAAGAACAGTTTGTTAAAACACGGGAAGCATTTAGTTTTAAAATATTTCAATAATAAGTTTTGATTTCACTTATTGAAGTTCAGGTACTCATATTCATTTTCAAGATTGTACATTTCTTCCTTAAGCCTAATTTACAAGGAAACAAAACAAATGCCGTCTTTCATTTCTTTGTGTTTTCATTGATGCAAAAATGGATTTCATTCATTAAAGTATTTATCCTCTGTCTCTCTCATTTAAAGTAACTATAATTTAAATAAGCTAGCATCATAAGCTATGGTTTGAAACTGGGTGGTTTTGCAACTGACCATAGTTTGTGTTAAACCAGTATTCCTTGGTTCAGATGAATTAGGAATTTATGACTAGTTAAAGGTAAATGTTTTCCAAGACTTTTCTGGCTCATTCATGTCACGATAAACCATGTTGTTGTGATGTTAGAACACCACCATTTTGTGTGTGAACAGCTACTTTTTATTAGTAAACTTGTTCTGCGATCATATTAGCAAGGATTCCTTTATCTAGCCCATTGCCTTTTCTTATATTCATCACTTTATAGCAGATACATTTTTTGAAAGTTGGTGATGCGCATCTGCCTGAAATTCATGTGGTATTTCTGTAACATAGGTGACTTCTGAACAAGTGACAAATTACAGAGATGCTGCTAGAAAAAACATTTTTGCTTAGCAGTTGCAAAAGTGACAAAGCAGTATCACATCATGCATTTGTGGATTACACATTTCTCACATCACACCCATTTCATAAGAGTAAATACAACATTGACAGTACTTATCCTGTTTAAAAGTTGAGCTGCCCTAAATAGCACCTATTCTGCATTGTGGCTCAGATTCCATTCTGGTTTATAAAGGAATATAACTCCCCTCTTACTAAAATTTGAATACCCTCTTTCTCTTTACTTACCTCAGGAGAAGGGGAAGAACAAACACTGGGGGCAGAATTAATATTTAAGGACAATATTGCTTAAAGTCAAAGATAATCCAGTTAAATATTTTTTTAGTTCAGTACTTAGAATGCAGGTTAATAAAATATATTTGAATAATACCAAAGCCTCACTATGTATTTTTTTTTGCCTTTTGCAATATTGAACTTGGCTGATAAACAAAAGCTATTCCATATAGGCAGTATGGCCTTTCCTTATGACAGTTTCTTAGTATTACACAGAACAGGTTAACAGAAGACAGTCCCACCATCCCTGACTGCTTGGCCGGTTTGAGTCCGACAATATGTGGAAGTCCCTCACCTTAATATCCTACTGACAGCTGAATGTAGGTCTTTGTGGGAAGGATGCCGTTATAACACTATCTCTTGTGTAGTTGAGGTTTCAAGGAGGACTGTGCCTGAGTTAGCCAATCCCAGAGTGAAGTACTTGAGCACAGGGCTATACGTACTCTTAAATCAGGCATCCCCAAACTCGGCCGTCCAGCTGTTTTGGGACTACAACTCCCATCATCCCTATCTACAGTAACAGGACCAGTGGTCAGGGAGTTTGGGGAGGCCTGTCTTAAATACTTAAGAAGAAAAAAAGTTGCTGAACTAGGGTAACCCTTTCTGAATTCTACAACCTCTATTATGCATTTCCCTTTCACCTTGTTTCGTTTCTATCATTTATCTGCTCCTAACCATTTGAGGAGAGGCCAGGACCAGCGAGGAGCCCTCAAGCCCCCACTCTACCTCACTAGAAATATTATGCAGCCATATTGTCACCCTGGGCTCCTTTGTGAAGAGGGGTAGAATAAAGAAATTAAACATAATACTATATTTGGTTTCTGAGCTTTCACAAGTCATTGATCACATATGCTCCAACCCTTGCAGTTAAAACAAAGAAGCCAAGGTTCTCAGTAAGCTAAATTCTGAGCCTGAAACCATATTCCTGTGTAGCAATTAATGTTTCTGCTGAATTAATGTGGTTAAGGTCAGCAGGGGAAGGACAAAGGGAATTCATGCTGCAGAAGGAAAGGATGGAGAGGGGAGACAGAACCTGCCTGCCCACTCCTTATTTGGTTAATGGTAGATAGCAAACTGGGAGTATTATATCTACACCAGATACCTAGTTGAGTGCACAGTGCATCTCTCAAAGCCTAGAGACTGCTTTTTTGAGCACTTTTCAGTATTTGAGAAGTATTTGTCAGTAGTTGAGGACAACCTTACTGCTTTGGTTTAGCCCTGAAGTGATAAGTAGTGTAGACCACCTGTTTCACGCAACAGTTCCTTTGCAGCGGTAGCTGAGAGGTCACAATTTTTGTGCTTACTCTTACACACTGATACTAAGTTAAAATAGCTTTCATTGGTTTACTAACAACAAATATTGAGCAACCCAAATTATTTCACTCTCTGAGATGGGTGCCGTTTGCCTTTCAGTGCTTGGTAGTCCACTTCTTCTTTCCCATGACTTGAACAGCCTCCAGGGTAACTTGTTAAATATTGTCCCCATTTAAATAAATTACTGTCCACGCAGTAATCCTCTGCCTATGGCAGACCATTTTCACTTATTTTGCAATTGATTTGACTCTAAACCGTGGTCATTTTCACAATACCCCACGTCACCTTTCAGGTTTTGCTTTTAAAGTTTGCTTCTTGAGGAAAGGCAGTTATGTACCCTTGGTTTGTGATTTGAAGGCTGCAATAGTTGTAACTTCAATGGGTGGTGAGTGATAAACATTGCTCCTCTTGCTTGTTTGCTCTTTCCCCATTTCTCTCTTGACTCCCATTTCAGATCAGCTCTTAACTGTATATCTGGAAAGGCCTTCATGAGCATGTGCTCATCGGTACATAGTTAGACCCCCCCCCAAAAGGAATATAGACAGTCTTCTTGTCAGACATAGCTTGGGTAAATGCTCTTAATAGTGGACCTTTTTACAGATATAGATTGAAATCTGTCTCATGATTCTTGAGGATGTTCAATCAGTTATAGAAAGGCTGTATACTCTGTCCAAATGCTATTCACAAGAGAAGAAAGGTGACTCTGGATCACTAGTTCTAGAAAGTATTGTCAAGTAATTAATCCTTACTTTGTATTCCCCTCCAAAAAAATCTGTCTTACCAAAGATGAGGATTTGTCACTTTAAGTATCCAAACAAATATGACAACTTAAAAACAGTTGCAGCATTTATTTTATTTTCAAATTCTGGTTTGGATCCAGACTTGGCTAATTCCTGCAAGACCCACTACCTAAGCAGAGTCCCACTCACGAGACATTTCTTCTGGTGGAAGAGGGGGAGATGACTTTTTAGTTGCCTGCTTCCCCTTCAGCTGCTTGTGTCCTCCAAAAAAACAAAAAAACCCCACCTGCTCCATGTGGTTGGAGAACCCTCCAGAACAGCATGGGAGGTGGTGCTGGAGCCTTCAGGCCAAAGGGAATCAACAAGTTGTTACTTCCTCGTGTTTCACCAGCAGATGAAACCCATCTCAGTCACTTGTAGGTGTTTAAACATAGAACTGAAATAACATACCTACAGAGATCAGCAGAACAAGAAAGCTCAAATAAATTGGGAATTAGTGGTAGTTGAACAATAGAATACCATCTTAGTCTCTGTATGGAAATTCACAAATCAAATGATCATATTTCTCCTTGCAAAAAATTTTCTTTTTTTTTTTTTTTAAAGCAATTTATTGGGTTTTACAATAGGAATAAATGTAATAAACAATATAGCATTCGTCTTAACATAATTTCACATTTTCTTTGGACTTCCTCACATCTCCCGCTCCCACCTTCATCATTATAACATTTTGTCAGCAATTTATCATCTTATTTAAATTCTTATATCTCTTCGATATTTCATAATCTTAAAGTTCTCATAAAGAGTTAAACTTTCACAACTTTTCTTGTTTCCTTAAAAATTTCTAAGTTAAGTGGTGCTCAGTTATTTAGTCCAGCATCTTATTCAGCATTCAATCAAATCACAATGTTTTTGTAGGTAGTTCTTAAATTTCTTCCAATCCTCCTCGATTCTCTCTTCTCCCAGGTCACGGATTCTGCCAGTCATTTCAGCCAGTTGCATATAGTCTATCAGTTGCATCTGCCATTCTTCCAGTGTGGGTAGATCTTGGGTTTTCCAATGTTTTGCGAGTAGTATCCTTGCTGCTGTTGTTGCATACATAAAAATGTCTGGTCCTTCTTTGCCACCCCTTGGCTGACAATACCCAAAAGGAAGGCCTCTGGTTTCTTAGTGAAAGTATATTTAAATACCTTTTTCAATTCATTATAAATCATTTCCCAGAACGCCTTCACTTTAGGGCATGTCCACCAGAGGTGAAAGAACGTTCCTTCACACTCTTTGCATTTCCAGCACTTGTTATCAGACAGGTGGTAAATTTTTGCGAGTTTGACTGGGGTCATATACCATCTATAAATCATTTTCATTACATTTTCTTTCAAAGCATTACATGCAGTAAATTTCAATCCATTACTCCACAGCCTTTCCCAGTCCTCAAACATAATATTATACCCAATATCCTGTGCCCACCTTATCATAGCCGATTTAACCATTTCATCTTGTGTATTCCATTCCAACAGCAAGTTATACATCCTTGAAAGTATCTTAGTCTTTGGTTCTAACAATTCTGTTTCTAATTTCGATTTCTCCACCTGGAACCCTAGTTTCTTATCACTTTTAAAAACTTCTTTAATCTGAGCATAGTGTAACCAATCTCGCACTTTGTCTTTCATTTTCTCCAAGCTCTGCAATTTCCAATTGTCTCCATCTTTTCTAGTATTTCCCAATATTTTGGCCATTTGGCCTCCATATTGGGTCTTTTTCGGGCCTTAGCTTCCAAAGGTGAAAGCCACCTTGGTGTTTTATTTTCCAGCAAGTCTTTATATTTTGTCCAGACATTAAACAGTGATTTTCTAACAATATGGTTCTTAAAGGCCTTATTTGCTTTAACTTTGTCATACCATAAATATGCATGCCATCCAAAAACATTGTTAAACCCCTCCAAATCTAACACATCAGTGTCTTCAAGAAGTAGCCAGTCTTTTAGCCAGCAGAACGCTGCGGCTTCATAGTACAACTTTAAGTCCGGCAGGGCAAAGCCCCTCTTTGTTTTGCATCGGTTAGTATCTTAAACTTAATTCTGGGCTTTTGCCCTGCCAGACAAACTTCGAGATGTCTCTCTGCCACTTCTGAAAGCACTCCATTTTGTCCAATACCTGCAGTGTTTGAAATAAAAACAACATTCTTGGCAATACATTCATCTTAATCGCAGCAATTCGGCCTAACAAAGAAAGTTTCAATTTTGACCAACTGTCTAAGTCTCTCTTAATTTCTGTCCAACATTTTTCATAATTATCCTTAAATAGACTTAGATTTTTGCTGTTATGTTTACCCCTAGGTATTTTACTTTTTAACCACATTAAGTTCCGTCTCATTCTGAAACCGTTCTGACTCTGTCTCAGTCAGATTTTTCCCCAAAACCTTAGTTTTCTGTTTGTTTAATTTAAATCCCGCCACCCGACCAAAATCATTAATCAATTGTAATACTCTTTTCGTACTAGGCTCTGGCTTCTGCAAGGTCAAAACCAGGTCATCTGCAAAAGCTTTTAATTTATATTGTTTCTGACCAACCTGAATTCCTTCCACCAGCTGGTCCCCTCTAATCATGTTCAATAGCACTTCCAGGACCGAAATAAATAACAAAGGGAAATAGGGCAACCTTGTCGTGTCCCTTTTTCAATTTTGAACTCTTCTGTAACCACATTATTAACTATCAGTTTTGCTTTCTGTTCTGAATATATCGCCTCAATCCCATTCTCAAAACCCCGTCCCACTCCCATCTCTTTTAAGTTTCCCATCATAAATTTCCAAGAAATGTTATCAAAGGCCTTCTCCGCATCTATAAAAATTAAAACAGCTTTTGTATTTATGTCAGTTTGGAGAAGTTCCAAAATATCAATAATGTTCCTTGTGTTAGCAAACAAATGTCTACCTGGGAGAAAACCGGCCTGGTCCTTATGAATTACTTCATTTAAAACTATTTTAAATCTACTTGCCAAAATATCTGCAAATATTTTGTAATCCACATTTAAAAGGGAGATGGGACGGTAGTTCTTCAGTTGTGTCTTTTCAGTTTCTGACTTTGGTATCAATGTGATAAACGCTTCCTTCCACGAATCCGGTGCCCTCTTCCCCTCCATAATTTCATTGCTAACCTCCATCAAGGGTTGTATCAAATAGTCTTTTAGTGTCTTGTAATACTTGGAGGTCAGCCCGTCTGGCCCTGGAGATTTGCCAAGTTGCATGTTCTGAATAGCTTGTTCAATCTCCTGTCGTGTTATTTTAGAGTTCAGGATTGTCCTATTTTCTTGTGACAGTTTAGATAATCCATTTTTGCCAAAAATTGTTTAATCTCAACTTCGTCTTGCGGCCCTTGGGTATATAATTTTTAAAATATCTCTGGAAACACTTTCTAATGTCCACTGGATTCTGAATGTTTCTTCCATCAACCTCTAAATTTGTAACCGTGTTTAATCTTTGTCTTCTCTTCAACTGCCAGGATAGCAGTTTTCCACATTTATTCGCCGACTCAAACGTTTTTGTTTCATTAATTTGATCTTCCATTCAATTTCCTGATTTATCAATTTAGAATACTGTGTTTGATACAGTTTAATTTCTCTCAGAGTTGGCTGTGACTTTGGATTCACTCTTAATTTCTTCTCTAATTCTTTTATTTTATCCAAAATCTTGTCTTTTTCTCATTTTGTTTTTTTTCTTTACTACATTCTGTTGTATCAGGAATCCCCTCATGACAGCTTTGCTTGCGTCCCAGACGATTCTTTTTTCCACCGAATTGTTCATATTTATCTCAAAATAATCTTTCAAAACTTTTTGGGCCTTCTTGGTAATTTCCTGATCTCTAAACAAATTGTCATTCATCTTCCATCTAAAGGATCCAGTTGGTAGTAGTGTCATGTCCATCTTTACTGCGTTGTGGTCAGAACAGGTCTTTGGGCAGATTTCCACTTTTCTAACCCTAGGTGCCAGGCCTCTAGAGATCCATATTTGGTCGATTCTTGTCCAGGTCAGTTGGGCTTCAGAAAAGAATGTTCCTTCTCTACCTAGTGGGTTCTTTGTTCTCCAAATGTCGATCAAATCCATATTGTCAGTCATTTCAAAAAAGGTTTTAGGTAGTCTGCCATCTTTTGTGATGTTTTGACTTTGCGACTTGTCCATGTTAGTTGACACGACCCCGTTCATGTCTCCCATCATTATGATGTTGTTGTAATCCAGATGGTCCAGCATTGTCCCCTGCAACTTCTTGTAAAATTCCGATTTCCCTTCATTAGGCGCATAGATTCCTAATATCAGCAGTTTCTCTCCTTGATATTGTATCTCAATAGCCAAAATCCTTCCATGTTCATCTTTAAATAGAAATTTAGGTAACAGGCTCTCTTTTGCATATATCACCACTCCTCTCTTCTTCACTTTATCCGACGAAATAAATTCCTGGCCCAATCTGTATGGAAATTCACAAATCAAATGATCATATTTCTCCTTGCAAAAAATTTTCAACATTCTGTTTTTCTAAATACACATGTCATGTCCAGCTTAACTTTTTTGTTGATTAAACCTTTTATAGAATTTGGATGTGTAATCAACAGTTTTTAAAAACATAATTTTATAATGGGAATAAGCTGCTGTGTCCTAGGATTCATGTAGTCAAGCATTCTTTTGTTAACAGTGTCTACCTAGTTACTTCTGAATCTAATGCTTCCAGGATCTAATACTCAGAGGGGTACTGCCACCGGACATCAAAGTGCCATTTAGTTATCACAACTAGCAACTGTTGATAGGCCCATTCTCCATAAACTTTGCCTGTTCCTTTGTAAATGTGAGCTAGTCATATCTTCTGGTTATGAATTCTCTAAGACTTGAAGTCTTAGTTGTGTGTTTGACTGGAGTTCAAAGAATGCCATACAAATATTCCTAATACTTCTAATATTAGTAGAGTAATGATTTAGTACTGGTCATTTCTCTTCCCTTAGAGAGACTGAAGCTAGTAGTCCTGTATATGAGTGTGGTTCTTTAGTGTGTCATTCATAACTTCAGAGCAGGTTGGAATTCATCTGAAAAGACTTAGGGATTTCCTTTTTCTTCCGAGTCTCTGTGCTAAAACAGGTTCTCCCTACCTCTGACAAAGTACAAGTGATGTATAAAGTTTTCACAATTCTCTAACCCTGTTCAGACTCTGTAGCATTGTCGTGCATCTTCTTCAGTAGGAAGCTGTTAGAACTTCTTTGGTAAATCTAGAGAGATCTTGTCACTGGACAATGGGAGCTTTCATCTGAAGATGTTGTGTTTTTTCTTGCTAGTAATGAAAATCAGTGTGTTTTAACCATTGTGGTTTCAACCCTGATTTTCATGGGGAAGGACTTTTCTCCATCACATGCTTAAGTAATAGTGCGTACTATGGCAGCCCAACATTCAAGCTTCATCTTGATTTATCATCATTGCCCCATTCTCTTGATAGGGAATCAGTGTTAAATGCTTAGAGAACCACCATCTTTCACTAAAAACAGCATCTGTTTCTAACTTCAGCTTTTTATTTTCTATCTTTCATTTTCTTTTTTCTTTTTTGTTGATAAATCTCCCAGACAACAACAGTTCTGTAGAGAGTTTAAATATGAAGGAATGGCAGGACGGGCTAAGGGCACTTCTACCGAACATTAACATCAACTTTGGTGGACTGCCCAATGCTACTTCCCCCTCCAACGCCAACCACAGTGTACCAACATCCAACACTGCCACCACCGACAGCCTGAATTGGGACAGCCCTGGCAGCTGGATGGACCCCGCAATCATCACAGGTAACAATTTCTCGCTCATTCAGCTCCACTGAGAATTACCAAGTGCATATTTTGCACAAATTAATCAATGCTTTTTTTGGAAGAAAGAAAGAAAAAGCAACTCTATGCGGTGGTCTCTTCCAGCTTCCATCCACCAAACTTTCTAGAGGTCCAAGCATCTTTTTGGGGGAAAACCCTCCATCCCAATATCTGTTGCATGTTCAGCGTCTTCCCAATACATCTTTAGACTTTAGTAGGTTGCCCTGTGATCTAATGGCTTGCCAGTTCTGTGCAATGAAATTCCTTAGGCACTGATACATTAACTGGACTCTTTTTCATTAAAAAGGAACATACTCCACTTGTTTATAAAGCTCTCTTATAAGGCTATTTGTGTTTCCCTTTTAAAGGCTAAAGCATGATTAGGAAAAAAGTAGAGGATCATACGGTATCTGGTAGAGCTAGATTGTGAATAAATCTCTGGAAGAATGTTGTAGAAAGTGTGAAAAGTTTTCCAAGGGGCAAATGTTTCTTGTGAAAACTCAACTACTGTTTTGTCTGGAACATGGTTATAACAGTCCTTTGTACAAACTAATAATGTTTTCTTACCATTGCCATTGGTTAGGTTTAAGCTGACCTACTTCACATTTGAAGTTCTTGCTTGCTCTGACTTAACCTCTTTCTCCTCCTATGTTTTCTCTTCTTCCTAGGTATCCCAGCCTCCGCTGGAAACAGTTTAGACACCCTTCAAGACGACAATCCACCACACTGGCTAAAATCTCTTCAGGCTCTCACAGAGATGGATGGCCCCAGTGCTGCCCCGACACAGACCCCCCACAGTAACCCCTTCAGCACACAGATTCCTCTGCACAGAGCCAGTTGGAATCCTTACTCCCCACCTTCAAACCCCGCCAGTTTTCACTCTCCTCCCCCAGGCTTCCAGACAGCTTTCAGACCCCCCAGTAAAACCCCCACAGATCTACTACAGAGCTCAGCGCTGGATCGTCATTAGGAAAAGTTCAAAAACATTAGAAATGCAGGAATTGCCCCACCCAGACTTCCTACACCCACCCATGGTCCCTCCTCCACATCTTTCTTTCTGAAGAATCCAGTTCCTGATCAAAACTCTTCCCCACCAGCCTCCAAATGCAATGCAATCACAGGGTCATAACCATATCTCTTTTTTTAATTTTATTTTAAGATTCTGCTAAGCCAGTGTTTGAAATACACTGATGAATTTTCTTTAAACACACAAAGAAAAAAGAGAGAGAGAAATCAAAAGTGCATAAAAAGGAAAATATTATTTTCATAAATCTTTTGCACGGAATTACTTTAGCCTAGCAGAAAATGTCAAGTAGGGGGAAATAATATAAAATTCAGAATCAAATGCAGCGATGTAAAAGCAGTTTAATTTAAATGAGAGATTCAAGGTATAGGGGGGGAAACCAGTGGCCTGGCATTTATTTTGCATTCTGTGTGTCAGTATGCAGGGAGATAGCCCCCCGCCCCCTGTTTGGGAGGGTAGGACAGTATTGTCAGTAAGATTTGTCATGAAGTGGGTTGAAGGACAGTTTGCCTGTTGAAATAAACTGACATGTTGCCTTGTTCCTAAGAAGTGGTTTAACAGAGGGATATTTTAAAATTTTGGCTTTAGATTTCAAGTAAACGTAATGTTTTAAAAATATTCACAGATTTAATACCTAGCATATACATGATATAATTATAAGCAGCTGAAACACGAGTGATATTTACTTCAGTCTTTCTGTCTCCTTGTCATTCTCTCTTTCTTTTTTTTCTTTTCTTTTTTTAAAAAAATCACCTGATTAAGGCACTCTGGGATAGCACTGCATTGGGGCCACATGATCACCATCAGGAGCGCAACCTTTGACGACCTCTGCCTGCAGCTTTTACTTAACCTTGTAGTTTCTGGACGTTTGTGCAGTATTGAAAGACAGGAAAAGAGAAACAGATAAAATTAAACATGGTTATAACCTGACTCTAAAACTAAAAACAAGGAAATGTACCTCTTTCTTCAGAATTAAAACTAAAATCTTAAATAAAACAGAAAACTTGATGACAGCTTTTTGTGAGTTCTCCTTTGATTTTGTGCTCATTTTTGTCAGTTCATGTGATGGGTTTGGCAGAAAACATGCTGTCTGTGCATGCCCCATTGGACTGTTGCCCTCTCTGCCCTAGTGCCAACATTAGCTTTTCTGTGCCATATCTTGCCCAGCTTCACTGTATTTTACTCAGTTAACATCCTGCTTTTTGGCAGTGCTGTCTCCAGAGTTTTTAAATTTAGGGGAATTTCCAAAGGGGATTACAAAATTGTTTAGTGTATATTGCATATGGGGGGGTTACATAGACCAAAAATATTTATGAGATATTATGAGATATTTATGAGATATCAAAAATATTATGAGATTCTGTATATTCCCACTTTTTGCACACTGCTGACTGTTGATTATTACACGGAACTGCACATATGCATTTAAAATACACTGAGAAATAGTGTTAATCTATTCAGAAGAAAGTTCAATTTCTGGTTATTTGAACTCAGAAAATCAGTGTGCCCTTTGTGCTGTAAACAATAAAATAATGCCTTCCATCACAGCAGCCTGGTTCAGACATAATCCTGGTCTGATAATGTAGGCTGCTTAAACCACAACTTCCAAACCAGGAAATTCTGTTTAAAGGGTTCTCTCCAAACCCAGAAAGCAGGATGGAAGGGGAAGGACTTGAAGGCAGCACAAGGACATCTATATAGCTTGTTCCAAGGCCAAATAAACCATCTTTAATGCTTCCAGTTTCACCCCAGGAGAAAGCAAGAATGAAGCAGTTTTATGTATTGTTTTAATCCATAGATTCTAAAGTGAGATTGCATATGTGTCTGATAATCCTACATAAAAATATACATCTTGCATTTTGGCACCCACTTAATTCTAACAAAGGCTGAAATCTTACCTTGGAGTCAGCCCAGCCTTTATGTTATGGGGAATATATTGTTTTATATCAGGATGGCATGTCCTATAGAGCATAGTTAGAGCTCTGTAGGGCATGCCACCATTATCCACCTCTAAGATGAGGGCTACCTCTAGTTATGGCAAAGTTTAAAGTTGGTATGTACTCACCATGTGAAAATAAGATTTGCATATTGTGTGCCTTTTTGAGAAAATTTTAACATTTAAAACCCAGGCATTTCTGTAGTTTACATTTTTAATTCGGTCTACACAATTTATATACAGGAGGTCTAACTTTTGTAATGACATTCATTTTTCTGAACATTTTTCTTGAATACAGTATTCTGTCTCAGTGCATGTACAGTGTTGAATAGCACAGGCCACAAGTTAAAGAAAGTCTCTGGTTCAGATCAGACTTTCATCCACGAAACACTGTGTGGACTTAAAACAAGCTGTTGGGCATTAGCATCTGATTCCACCTTCTATAATGGGGATAATACTCAAAAGTTCTCAGCCTGTTGTAAAGACTACTGAGAATGTGTGAAGCATTTAGGCACTTAGAATTTGTGTGTGTGTGTGCATCTGCACATACAGAGTCTTTCCTATTCAAGCTTTGATATTCAAGCTATAAAATTAGCAAATATCCTGGATATTCAAAACAAGCTTTCTTTACGAGTTCCAAAACATTTTATCCAGTATGGTCACTTGTACCTTGCAGCCATAGAGCCATTGAAGATGTTTAGAAAAAGCCGTGTAATCTTGGATTACAAATGAACTAGCACTGACAATAGCGTTTACTAGAAAACTGAGTTTATGTAAAATAATCCTTGCATAATGAATGCATAAGCATTTGATACATACTGTGTATAACAACTTCCACGTTTGTTTAGCTGCAATTGATCTACACACCAATTGACTTGCTTGGTATTACCAGAATTATTATTTTTTGGCCCCTGCTTTTGTTTATTGCTTTATACCTAAATTTAGGATGTACATTTTCTCCTCCGACTACATCAATCTATATATAGATTTGAAAGGAATGGATGACACCCGTTTTAGTTCAATTATAGAAAGATGGTGGTACATCCAGTAGATGATGAATGGATTCTACATCACTCTGGAAAATATAGGTATTTAACCAAGTCCTACAATTCCACTTGTTGCTCGCAATGCATGGTTTGGTATGAGTTGTTTTCTGGGCCCAGAGATTAAAAAGTAACCAAGTAAAATGCATTAACATAAATGATAAACATTCTATTGCATTAATACAATGTGAATTTCAGAATTTCAAATTCTGTGTCTGAAGGGGTTGAAATGCAGGGACCTGTTCAGCTGCATCCAAGATAATTTTTGCTCCCTAAGGCAAATGCTTAGTCACTTTGTGTAGATGTGACTCCTCACACAAGGTTGCTTCGTGTGTTGTATATAGCTTGCATTCTGCAAATGTAGATAAGTTCCTAGTTGCTGTTGAAAATGGCCTTCTCCCCTGCCAGTCAAAGCGTGTGAAAGGAGGGCTCTCCACATGCCTGGATTCTCTGTGTTTAAATGTACTCTGAGCTTGCTGCTAGTGAGGTGCTGTATTCTCCAGCAATAGGGATGTCTTGGACTGTGTGTCTCAAATGCAGTTTTTCTAACTGTAGCAAATGTACCCTGTCAGATCCATCATCTTGAATATAAATACGTTACCATTATTACCATCTCTGGTTTTAAGTGATCTCTAGTTCAGGAGTGGGATACTTTTGGCCCTACTAATGTTGCTGAACTAAAACTCAATTTAGCCCCAGTAAGCACAACACAGCAAACATTGAGCGTTGTCAGTGCAAGCCTTTGGCAGCCTCTCCCTACTGAGATTAGAAAGACACGCTCCTTACTGAACTTCAGGCATGTAACAAAGACTTTCTTTTTACAGCGGGCATCATAAGTGTTCATAAGTGTTGCTGGTTGAATTTGCTTTGTGTATGGTTCATTTTCATGTGCACTGCTTAGGAATGCTAATGATTAAGCAGTATATAAAGTCTCAGGGATGATGGGAGTTGTAGTTCACCAAGATCTAGAGGGTGATAATGTCCCCACCCCTTCTTTAGCAGATGATCTCAATAGGGACTTTCCTTGAGGATGTAGCAAGGTACCACGCTAATTCTTATACCAGTTACATTTCTGCTTTTAGTGAAATGTCATTGCGCAACAGTCATTACTACCCCTTTCTCCCAGTTGTCCTTTGTGCAGCCTGAATCAATATACAGTATAGCAGAAACTAATCTGTCTGTGCATCTTTTCCTCTCCCCATCTTATGACTTTGGGCCTTAATAATTTGCCCTACATTTTCTCCTCCCCACCCTGTCACCTTTTATTTAAAATTCCCGCCTGAATAAGAGATCTGGAGAACTTGAAACACTGCTTGTGAGTTTGATATTTTGGTTGATCCTAAATAAGGTAGTTTCCGTGTCTTTTGGTTTTGCCTCCAATAGACCAACACAGCTATCTGGTTTTGTGCAAATTTGTAGACACCCCTCCCTGGTTTCTTTTTATGGTTTACTTGGCTTGTTATGTTGTTTTGCTGAGGGTGGGGAGAAGAAATCAATGAGACGCCCCATTTTATGGGAGTATGGAATTACAAGGTTCGGCAGCATCTTGGTGTGTGCAGTTCTCTTGTAGCACCCTTGAGCCCCAGTTTTTACATTCATTTTTGGGAGGAGGAAGGCAGAAGATAAAGTACTAATCAGTCTCAGAGTTCCCTTGGTGGTGACAGTTCTGTGGGGCAGCCCAGATGCTGATGCATATCTGCAGCAATGTTGTCAGAATCCCTAGGAGTACGCTCACTTGTATGCACCAGGTGAGACAACATAATCCCAGCATAATGTAAGTGACTATGACAAGCCAGATATCAAGAGAAACTAGCAACTGAGGCGTAATAATACCACTTACCTGTTGCTGGTGACAAATCTAAGAATGATTATGTCTGAACTTGAACACATCTTGTATTTGTCATATGGCTTGCAGTCACCAGTATTACTAAACCATCGAGTGGTATCAAGCTAAACAGGGCAGCTATAGTTCGAGCACTTTTAACTATGCAACAGAATTGCCCCTCACTCTCCGATCTCCATTTGCCCCTTGTGTACCCCATAAATCCGGTCTCCAGTACAGTCATACCTTGGATCCCAAATGCCTTGCGAGTTCACTGTTTTGGCTCCTGAACGCCACAAACCTGGAAGTGAGTCTTCCGGTTTGCGAACATTCTTTGGAACCCAAACATCCAACGCAGCTTCCAATTGGCTGCAGGAGCCAATGTTTTCTGAACACCTTGTTTTCTGAATGTTTTGGAAGTCGAACGGAGTTCCAGAACAGATTCCATTCGACTTCCGAGGTACCACTGTACATATTTAGGGGGTACACAGGGGAAGGAGAAGAAGATGAACTTCCATTGCCCAGCCAGAGGTGCTTGCACTAGGAGAAGTATTTAGTTGCATACTGCCCCGTGGTATTACTTCTCAATAAATCACTTTGATTGTGTAGGAGTTCTGTAGATCTAGTCATGTATTCTGTGGAGAAATAACATTTGATCTGTTTCCTACTTCCTCAGTGAAAAAGACTAGAGATTACATAAAAGGTTGTGGCTTTATTCTGTCAAGTTGTCCACCTGGCTACAGAAGAAACACTTTACTAAATAATAGGGCTATGAACCAATGCCTTGAAATAAAATAAACGTTAAAACTCACTTTTCCTTTTTAGAGCTCCCACTGTTACCCGAGTAGATGGTACATTTTTAGTAGTATGTTTCAGTTTTGAACAAGCAGCCTATATCATAGGGTTGCATGCTTCAGATTATACATGTTTTCTCTATTGTATTTTACATAAACTGACCTATAATGACAGGTTTCATAAATGGGCTATGTATGCCATAAAAGAGCAAGAAGTCAGTTCCCACAAACTTCCATGAGTGCATTGCTGTTGGTTCATTACAAAGCGATTTATCTCGGATTCCAAAGTGCTGTCTTATTCAAAGGGTTCAGTCCTTCAGATCTTCTGTAATAAACGGAAGGCAAGGCTTGGGGGAGATTGCGATGGCAAGGTTTCACGTTCAAGGGGGCGTCTCCTGGTTTCTGAAGCAAATGAACGAACATCGAGGCAGATGGGGCAGTTCCTGGCTTCAGAACAACCTGCGGGAAGATGTGGATTTCGGAGCATAAGCTTTGCGGTGCCCATTTCTGCAAATTCTCCTGGCTCCTATTAGAAATGGAACACAGTAAAAGAGATGGTGAGAGGCGTTGGGCAGTAATCAAAATCATTCTGAACAAAATGTTCTACGACTAAAGGGCCACTGGAACATAATGATCATGCTTTTGTGACATTATGAATTTCACCCTCCCCAGTCTGTGAAAGTGTCATTTGCTGCTTAGGAGAACATTTGAATCACCTGCTGTGCGGATCATAGAATCGTAGAGTTGGAAGGGACCCTGCGTATCATCTAGTCCTGCAATGCAGGAATATGCATCTGTCCCATATGAGAATCGAACCTGCCAGCTTGGTGTTCTCAGCACTGTGCTTTGGTCCTCCAGATGTTGGACTTCACCTTTCATCATCCCTCGCCCTTGGCTGTACCAGCTGTGGCTGGTGGGAGTTGGAGTCCTACAACATCTGGAAGGATCCCCTTACTCTCATCTGGTGAATCCCTCCTACATATTCAAAACCTTGGTTAAGACATACAGAGAAGAGGATCAAGCCATGCCATATCCCAGATAGCTGCTTTTCCAGCTATGTAGCTCAAAATAAGAAGTGCTTTTAGTATTGGGAGCTCAGCATGATTTAACTAATTTTATATAACTTTAGCTGTGCCCCATTTGTTGATATTGTTGGTCTGTGTGCTGTGGGTAAACAGGGATCAACACTGTTCCCATAAGATTTCCTGGCTATTGTGACAGGCACTCTCAAATCATCCTGAGAGCACCCTTCTGTATAATAGGTCCCTCGCAATACAGCTGAACAGTGAATAGGTGAAATTACAAGAAAAGTAGCCTTCTACAATATAATTTGAGGGTTATGATAACTGAGGAGCCCTCAGCAGTCATAGAAGGTTTAAGCCAATATGCTCCTCTTCATCTTCTGGGCAAGACTGAAACAGAACTTGTCTATCTGTCTTTCTGTGTCTATATGCAAGGAAATATATCTCTCTCTTTTTAAACAACCCTGAAATGATTAACAAATCTGGTTACAGTTTAGCATGCACTGAATTATGTCAAACATTAAAGAGTTGTTTTAGCTAGCAATGCTCCAGCTGTGGACTAGTTACCAAACAACCCATCCTTTTAAGCAATGATTTCTTGGATAAGGCAAGAATAGTCACTTGGATTTAGATGGAAGAAGAATTTTCTTTGAGTTAATATACCAACCATGGTCTGGAGAAAAGAAAGGCATAAAGGCATAACTTTCTATAGCCCTTCTGATAATTTGGAATAGAATTAAAGAAATAACATTCTCATTGATATGGAAGGATCTTAAATATTGGACAAAGACTAGGAAGAACACCTACTTTCTAGATCTCAATCCTATCACTTGATTCCTTCATGGCCAGTCTCTAGAATGAACAACGCCCCAAGACTGTTTTCTGAAATTTTAATTGGCACTACGTTTCTACATCAATATGGTAATACAAGACAAGGTTTGAAAAACTTCAGCAGGTCAGATAGTTTAAATTTGTCTACTTGAGAAAATACAGTAGAGACAGGCCTGGGCTGTGTGAAGGAGTCCTTAGTAGATCCAGGAGGGACTCTGTTAGGATTGTAATGCTTTGTGGTGGATAAAGGAAGGGCAGTGAGTACAGCATTAATTGGTGATAGTAGCTTTCAACATGCAGAGCAGTTTCACCAATGCAGTGTAAGCTTCTAGGCAAGATAGGGTAAACACTTGTACATCACATCCCACCCCCCACTAAAATGAAATGCACCCCCACAAAAGTCAGCCAATGTTTGCACGAAATGTCCATGTGTGCACGCACAAGCACACTCCAGCTCACCATACTAGGAAAGACTGGCTAGGCGACCTGTTTGCGCCCTGCTGTGTGGGGGCTGGATCCTGTCCTCCCTTCTTATGGTTCTTCATTCTTAAACCAGGTTGAGACCAGACAGCCCATCAGATGGTTTACTGCCAGCCCTCCAAATAGACAGCTGTGCTCTGTAAGTGGAGCCCGCGGCCACGCTAAGGGGGAGAATTGACTGCAGGGTACAGGCATGGAATACCTTTGGAATCCCTGGTTACTGCATCCTGCCAGAGCCCCAGGGTACGCGCAACTGTAGAGGGCAGAGGTGCGATATTGAAGCCTGCGATTGTGCTTCATTTTCCCAAAGCGAGTCCTGCTCTTCCCCATCTCCTGTTTAGCTGAGTTTCCTCTCCCAACTTTGAATTTCCTTCTCGGTCGTTGCCTGGAATATGAGAAAATGTGCTACATTTGTTCTAGTTTATCAAGGTATTCACTACGTTTACAATGGCAACATATATTTCAGGTCAGGAGAGGTTGCTGGATCAGGCCAGTGGCCTGTTTAGTCCAGCATCCTGTTCTTTCAGGTGCCTGTCCTGTAGATTCTAGCCCTTTCCTTCAGTTGGATATCAATACCATCACTGAAATGTTTTTCTTGTTAAAATGTCCTTTCCAGAAGAGTGAATAAATGAAAACAAAAGGTTTCCTTCCCTTTGCTATGATGTAATCAGGCTTCGGAGTCTATTTAACAACATTAAGCTCCTAAGAGGGGTTTTTGTGGTGGGACATTTAATTGGTTCTTTCAAAGTGGAGTTTTGTTTGGAAAATCCTGCTAGTCTGGTTTTTCCCCCAAATGGATGCCTTCCCCCAGTGGTACATCTAAAATAGAAAAGTCCATTTGGGATATGAGGTATATCTTTATCACTTCTACTAAACCAGAGGAAGCTTGTGCAATCATCTACTAAAGCAGGGCCGATTTAACAATATGGCAACGTTTGCTGCACAAGAAGGTCCCTGGATGCCCTTTTTCAATACTACTTTAGTGTTTGTTTTCACAAAACGGCTAGTGAGATTTTTCTGCCCCGTAGAATTTGAACACACGCAGGCAAATGCAAAACTGCAATGCAGATGCCAGAAAATTACAATTCATTAGAAAGAAGTGACAGATTGGTGGGTGTAAACAACTGAGTTGTTGAACAAACAAACAAACACCCCCATGTTTTCCCTTTAGGTGGGAAATGGCTTCCTTCAGGCCTTGCTATGAGTTCTATCAGCGAATGAGAAAGTATTTGGAGACCCCCAATTTATGAAATGTAGTAAAAACACAAAAGCAGTCTTTAAATCTATACCATGTCTGACAGCAAGTAGTTGACGCTGCGTGCTTAGGCAACAGCATATTCCAGTCCTTCACTTTTACACCATTTCTGTCATAGAATCGTAGAGTTGGAAGGGATCCTAAGAGTCATCAAACCCAACCCTCTGCAATGCAGGAATCTCAACTAATGCATCCCTGACAGATGGCCATCCAACTTCTGCTTAAAACCTCCAATGAAAGTGAGTCCACCATATTCTGAGGGAGTCTGTTTCACTGTTAAAGAGCTCTTACTGTCAGAAAGTTCTTCCTGATGTTTAGTCATTCTGTATTCACGTATGTATTTTGGCGGGGTGTGTGTGACTTTCACAGATCTCTCAATGCGGGGATTAAAGTTCGGAGTGTGTGACTTTTGGTTTGCTCCTCTTGTGGTACAGGAAACAACAACATAAAGCTGAATTGTCTACCACCTGGCCCTGCCTTCACCTGCCTAGTGCCTACCTGCTGTTTTGGACCACATTTCCCATCAGCCCCTGCTAACCCATCTTCAAATTAGAGAAGGTTTTTGATTTGACCCCTTGGCCTGCAGATGGCAGCACTAGCTTAGTAATTTGCTCAGTAACTCAGAAGAAGTTTGATGCAGGAGAAATATACGATAAAATGCACCCTTCTCATGGTGTAACACTTTGCAATGCAAGAGAAAAAGAACCAGTGATTGAGAGTAGCAATGGAACTACAACAGAATCTAGAATTCTCCCAGGCTTACGGTCCTATTCAATACAGCACTAAAGAGAACATTCCATCAGTGCAAAGTTTTCTCCTTGCACAAAGGAACATTCTTCCCCTTTCCTTCCTCCCACCAAACCTGTTATGGGGATTCCCCCAACCCCTCTGGAGAAGATTTGAGGACAGCGCAGACACTGGTGGAGGAAGAGGGGTGCGGGGGCAGCGCAATCCCGGTGGGGTGCCATTGCGGCTGCCCCACCCCCGCACTGGGCGCCCCGCCCCCGGGACACGCACCAGCCACACCCCCACCTGTTCTCCACCCCCCACCTCCTCCACTGAGCGCAGAGTGTGTGCAGAGGAAGGAGAGCGGGGAATCTTGTGCTAGTGCAGAAAAAATATATTTGAATACTGCCCTTAGTGTTTTTAAGGCTGCTGAAATCATAGAATCATAGAATTGCAGAGTTGGAAGGGACCTCAAAGGTCATTTAGTACAACCCCCTGGAATACAGGATTCTCAGCTAAAGCACCCACGACAGAAAATAGAGCACAACATTCTTGCCATGACTCACTCTCTCTCTCTCTTTGTATATATATCCTTTGCAAATACCTCATTCTACCAGAGATGTGATGGGTTTGGTTAATATGAGACCCTTCTCTGTGAATACTAAAAACAAACTACAGGGAGGAACCAGAGGTGTTACACTGGCGCAGTGACTGAGTCTATTAGAGCATACATGCATAGTATTCAGGAAAGGGGGAAGCACTTGAATGGTATATTTTGATGGTTGTACATTTATATAGCTGTCTCATGGGGAACATATAACCAACAAGGACTATATATATTTTCTCAGAAGGAAGTCCTACTGTACTTAGTGGGATTTATGCCCATAAAGGTGGGATAGGAAGCCAAGAGCAGTGTGGTGCTGCTCTAATACTCCTAATCCACATGGCAAATCCATATGGACTCTTTCTTAACCAGCAGAGGGAGCTTCATTCTATACGCGCCATAACACGCCGGACAAATGCTTAAATAAATGTCCTGCCGAAAGCCTATTGCACTGGATCCAACTTTGTTGGTTGCAGAAAGGGAACTTGATTTTCACAGCCTACCCAAAACCCAAAGATACGTGTTCTTGGATGAGGCCCAGCCCTGCCCCTTCCTCTCCCTAAGTCTGGAAAAAGTGTAGGAGGGGATGTGGGGCCCTTGCAACTGATCAAACTGCTTTGAATCACTGGAGTGGTAAAATAGCTCATGAAGCTGGACCTCAAAATGTAAGTGAGGGTGTAGCTCTGGAAACACCTGGTAGTTGGCTGCTGAATTCATCAGCCACCACCCTTGTGACTCCCTGCCACAAATATTGTTCTTGCCGAATGCACTGTTTTTCAAATAACCCAACAAGCCAATCTGATCCCCAGACTTGCTCCCTTTCCTGAGCTCCTATAGCTGCCAATGATTACTCAACCAAGTTTCAGCCACCATCTTTCCTAATGTTCCCATGCATTCCTGCCATGCCATGCACATGTACATACACATAATGCTAAAGTGGTACCTCAGGTTAAGAACAGTTTCAGGTTAAGAACGGACCTCCAGAACAAATTAAGTTCTTAACCCAAGGTACCACTGTACGATTTTCTCGCAGGATCTTGGCATGCTCGTGGGGAAAGTTACTGACAGAATGCAACTTCCATAGCCACAGTTTCCAGAGCTAAAAGACTTCACACTGAAAACATAATATTCCCAGCGCAGTCAGTGGAACAGGCAGATGCTTAAGAAACAAACATGTCTCCCTCTCGGGTATAGTCAATGTGGTGCCCTCAATATGTTGTTGCACCCCAACTTCCCAACCAGTCGTCAGGGAGAGGATGGCAGGAACTACACAGGTGTTTCCCACTCTCTATAGGTTGATAAAGTCTAATAAGAGAGTTGTATCTATTACCTGCATGGAGATTTTTCAATGGGCTCTAATAGAAACATTCCCAATCCGAATCGAAAGGAGACTGAGGGCTAAGCAGCACTCCTTTCTTCAATTTGTTTGGCTCATTCTTGGATACCTGGCCATTTCTCATCAAACAGCCTTAGTGGTGGAGCCACTTCTCACTTGAGAGCCTAATTATGGTGGTGAATGGGCCTGACTGAGGTTACAGGCGGAATCTATTCAATACTTACCCTCCTCTGGTGTCACTGCTTTGTTCATTTGCCCTCAACATCCTGTCTTGCAGGCAACAAACAGCAAAGGAGATTGACATGGTAACAATGATCACTCCACTGATGAGAGAGGCGATTACTGCCACCCGGAACCCTTTGTCCAGGGGCTTTGGGATCACTAAGGTGACAAAAACAAAGCATGCTTGTTATGAGTCACACGCTGTAAATGGCATTAACTAAAGGGCACCTGGAATATTGCCAGTTCACTCCGTAGTTTTTCCATTTAGAATCTTTATTTTTGCGGAGAGATTGATCTGAAAAGATGCATACTTTCTTGATCCACATTTGAACAGCGCAATAATCTGTTCATACAAAGCCCAGCAATTCAAAAATAAGTTTAACCAGTAGCTTACCTTCACAGTGAGGTGGGGGGTGATTCCAGTAAAATATGTTTCCTTCTAGCAAACAGGTCAGTTTTTGTTTGCCCACAAGCTGATAGCCATCTTTGCACCAGTATGTGACCACTGAACCCAGGGAGCTGCCAGAGCCCTCTTCGGTATAATAAAACCCATAGCTTGGAGGGAGGAGAGCTGTGCACTGAGCTGCAACAGACACAGGGAAACTAAATATGGGTTATCTGAAGAACACATCTGTACAAATCAATGGCGTTGGCAGCTCAGGTCTGCAAATGAGGTTCTGCAAAGTGACTTGTGCAGCAGCAGCTTTTGTCTGCGTGGGAGCTGCTGTAATGTGATGGCATCACAAGAGGGTGAATTGATGGAGGATAAGGCTACCAGTGACCACTAGTCATGATGGCTACATGCCCAGAACCAGGATCAGAGGCAGCGTGCCTTGAATGCTGGTAGCTGGGGAACAACAGTGGGAGAGGGCTGTTGCCCTCTTGTGTACAGTGCTACCTCGGGTTAAGTACTTAATTCGTTCTGGAGGTCCGTTCTTAATCTGAAACTGTTCTTAACCTGAGGTACCAGGTTTAGCTAATGGGGCCTCCTTCTGCCGCCGCGCCGCCGGAGCACAATTTCTGTTCTTATCCTGAAGCAAAGTTCTTAACCTGAAGCACTATTTCTGGGTTAGCGGAGTCTGTAACCTGAAGCGTATGTAACCTGAAGCGTATGTAACCTGAGGTACCACTGTATCTGATTGGCTGCTCTGGTAAACTTTATGCTGGGTTAGATAGGTTTTTGAATCAGACTAAGGAAAGTGGCTCTTATAACTTGGTGCTTCTCATGTTGAACTGTATGTATGAAAGAAGGGTACTCCCTGAAAAAAGTGGGTGTTTTGTATTGTACAGCTGTGCAAACTGTCCATACTATGATAAGCAAAGCCAGATGTATTGCATTTGTGCATTCCATCTCTTCTCTCCATACGCCACATTTTAAAGCAAGGGAAGGAAATCAGGGCACATGGTAAGGTCTGAAGTGTTCCCAGGAAAATGCTGGTTTTTCATTATTGTACTTGCTGCCTCTTGAGGGTAAGTATGGTTCAGCGCTCATAAGAGGGTTAGCAAATTCCTTCAGGCTGGAAACTAAGCAGTAAGTACAGATTTGGCATCCAGTGTAACTGGGACAACACAGTTCCCTGTGTCTACTCAGAAGTAAGTCCCACTAAGTTCAATAGAATTTGCTCCCAGGTAAGTGTGTGTAGGATTGCAGTCTAAAACAATGGAACTGGCTGGCTTTGAAAATGTAGTGGTAAACAGCTCACCTAAGGCTAAATGCTTAGTTTCTCAAACTGACATTCTTTTGCTAGGCTACTTGTTTGTCTCTACTGAGAGGTCATGGTTAGTTTGGGAAAGAGACATAGACAGCCATATCTCTGAAGATGACCAGAAGAAAATTTGGCAAAGATTTGCCATGAAGGTAAATTTGCCTAGAGTTCATCTCAGTCCACATTAAAATTAGTGCACCAGAAGCACCTGCCACTTCTAAGGCTTGTTTGTTTGTTAAATTTGTTTACTGCCCCATTCTCATAGATCCCAGGGAGGCTCACAGCATAAACTTCCTTCACTTTGGAGTTGGAGAAAGCTTGGACCTCAAAGCTTGTGGTAGAGCAGTCTGATGGACTCAGGCATACAATATTAACAAAATAATACAGATAATTTGTCTCCCAATCACAAGCCTTTTCAACCAGACATACCTCATAACATTAACTGCAACACTGGAGACAGCAGGATTCAATAGGGTTTAGGGCTGTTCTCCAGTGGCATAAGTGAAGTACCAGGACCGTGTGATCAATGGCTTCTCTAAATCAGGTATCTTTAACATGTAATGGTTTCCATTCATTGCATTCATTAACAACAATTCATCAATATAAATATACACCTCTCATCAATTTTGGACTGGACATGTTTCTACATTGTGCGTTTATTTCATTCTAATGTGGACAACATATTCGTGCCTACTCCTTTATAGTTTTTATGCCGTTCTGTTATACTTTGCTGATCTTTAAAAATCCTCTAAAAACACTTCAATAAACAGTTTTTTAAGAAATAAACATACTATGTATAGTGCAAGGGAGAGAGCGGGACCTGTTCACCAATTCCCCACTAAGTGCCCCCTTTCCCTGCAATTGCCTTACAGAGAAAGCAACTAAAATCACGAATCCTAAGTTTTCCTCCTAAGATAATGTTATCCCCTTGGTACCAGCTCTGCTCCTCCCAAAAGGTTTATCAAACTACCAATATCCCCACCCCCAGGAGGGAAGAAGATGTAATGATGAACAGTATAAGAGAAATATTTTTGCTCAAAAAAGAGAAGGAAATTCAAAGAACACCTAGAACATATGTGGATCAAGATCTTAGTTGAAGATGCCATAGTGTGCTTCCTAGTGAATTTGCACCATGCTTACAAAACAACACACTTGTACTTGACATTTACTAGCACAGAATAATTGCTACCACATCCTTCAACATTTATATGCACTAAAGTAGGTTAAATTCTTCATACCACTTATATGTTTGCATTGAGTTTGTGAGAAAAAAATTCATAGCTTTGATCCTCAGTGACGCTTAAGAGTTAACGTTGTGGTTTTTGCAGCAGTTAATATGACCGAGTGGTTAAACCGGGATGCTAAGGGGCAAGTAATGAGTGACCTAGTAATGAGCCCCTTGAGCGATGGTAGGAAGAATACCCTTTCAATAGCAAGTTGTGTGTATTAGACACACAAGATGTGACTTTTGGCTGAAAATCTGAGGACACAAACACACACTTAAACACAAGACGTTTCAGAGTACCTGAAAGGTTGCCTTGAACAATGGTCCCATTTCCAGCATCTCTAAGAAATTTCTTTACACCAGCTTCCTCTGCAGGGATGGTGGTCAAGGATTCCAGAGCTTCACTCAAGGTAAACTTTAGGCAACTCCAGGCTAGTAGGCAGAGGGCTGCGTGTTCCTGGGATGGTTGCTTCTTCATATCTTGAGGCTTTGCTGTGGCATCCTGGAGTTCTCCCAATAATATTGAATGTATGTGTGCATGTTTTCCCTTTCTTCACTCAAAATCTGACCTGGCAGCAGTAAGCTGGATTTGAGGTCTTTAAGCCTTGAGGAGGAAAGCCTGTTTGTTCCCCAGAGACCAGCTGCCATTTCACCAAATCTTACAAGACTGAAGGAACCTACAGTGGTACCTTGGGTTAAGTACTTAATTCGTTCCGGAGGTCCGTTCTTAACCTGAAACCGTTCTTAACCTGAAGCACCACTTTAGCTAATGGGGCCTCCTGCTGCCACCGTGCTGCTGGAACACGATTTTTGTTCTCATCTTGAAGCAAAGTTCTTAACCCGAGGTAATATTTCTGGGTTAGCAGAGTTTGTAACCTGAAGTGTATGTAACCTGAAGCATATGTAACCCGAGGTACCTCTCTCTCTCTCTCTCTCTCTCTCTCACACACACACACACACACACAAAAATATCTCTTTGAATTGTCTTCCTCTGCCCTCACCATGCATGTACATTCATTTTTTCTTGCATGCTCCCCCCCCCCCAAAGATAAAATACAATGATGTCCTGTTCCAGTGTTGGCTCAGTCACCAGTTTCTCCTATGGGGAAACCAGGGCTAATAAAAGTAAAGATGAATACAGTGTGCATGCAAAACATTTGGGAGTCCTCTTATACATGCTAAATAGTGCTGGTGCTCTTATTCAAGATAAATCATCTGTAATGACTTCTCTGCATATAAGGAGTGTTAATGCCATAACTATAATTACTTCACTGTGGATTGCAGGGAGGCAAATGGATGGCCTTTCTGCAAGTATTCACTTTGCTTCTTTCCTTTCTCTGTCAGTGTATCACGCACGACCATTTGTTTGTTTGTTCTCTTGTGTTTTTGTTCATTCTCAAAAATTTCAATGAGCATAAATGTGTGTGTGTGTGTTTGTGTGAGATAGAGAGAGAGGGATGCTCTTCTGACAAATAGCTAGGTTGCCATGCTAAGCATGTTTGGGTGTGCTAGAAACCAGCCAGGCGAAGAAGCCATTGCTATTGCATTCTGTTGCTCCACAGGGTAGGGCCTGAATCAGTGGGTTCAAATTGCAAGTGGATTTCAGTTTAGCATTAGGAAGAACTTCCTGGCAGCTCAAGCCTGTTTGACAGTGGGACAGACGGCCTCAGGATGCATTGGACTCTATTTTTGTTAGAGGCTTTAAAGTGAAGACTGGATGGGCCCCCTGACATTTCAGGGGTGCAGTAGCAATGAGTATCCTTCATCAGCTGCGGGGGCGGGGGTTGGACTAGGTTACTCTCGAGGTCCCTTCCGATTCTACGATTCTATTATCCTCTTTTTCTAGGGCGCTTCCTTACATGCATAACGTCTGGCTGTGATGGAGTGGAGCCTCCTGGCCTGTTCTAAGCTGCAGCTGGCTGCCACAATGAGCGTGCTGACGACTTTGCTCCCCCATGATTCACAGAGGTGGGGCAGCAGAAGGAGAAGGAAGTGAAGGGCACTATAAAAGCTGCTTCTTCCAACACATAGCAGGGCGAAGTCTAATGTTGGATTCTCCCTGCCCTGAAGCTAATGGGAAGGATGACAGGCAGACAATAGCAATTCCAGGAAGTTTTTGCTTAAAGTGAATCAAGGGTTTAGCACTGGGATCTGTTTTCTTCTAGGACTGAGACACGGCACGGAAGTGTGTGTCTGAGTGTGTAGTTTGGTAAGGAGGCCTTGCTTGTTGGAGAGTGCAACTTCCAGGCAGGATTGAGGACCAGTGTTTCTAATTTTTGAGATGAAGCATTGCTGTTTTCTAAGCCCCTTGGGTCTGAGTGTTTCTCTGCCAAGCCTTACTTTGGTGCTCCCACTGGGTTTTCACTTTTGGCCATGGGGAGGAGGAGAAAATAGGCTGGACACTTAGAATTTGCTAGAAAAAGAGGAAATGCACCACCTACAAAGAAGAGGAAAGTGGACCCAAATTGCATGGAAATGATACATTCCAATAAGTAAATACAGATGCAAGATTAGAAACAATTAGTAATTCACATAGAAATCCAGTGGTGGGGAAGATCAGTCCACTGCCAAGTGCCGACTGTTGATGGGCGACTTCAAAGTCCCTGCTTTTCCTCTGTATGGTTCTTTGAGCAGAATACGTTTGTTTGGTGCTGTGGGCCCTACAGAGCAACATCTGTCTGTGGCAGACGGGATGGGGTATCACCTATCTCAGTTCTAGTGCCTCAAGTACAATAGGCAAGGGTGCTAGGAGAGTGCGCCTATATAAAAGGATTCTGCACTATACTGAGCATGGTATGAAGGGTAGCCCAGCTTTGTTGTTGTCACATAACAGGAAGCAAACTTTCTCTGTTAACCTCTACCTAGCAGAAGTGCAGCTAGTATGCTTGATGTAATGCAAAATTATAGTTTTGCTCTTGGGAGTGCCCTCCTGGGCTCCCACACTACTTTTTACCCTTTCGTGTACAGGTTCCTTCCATTACTGGTTTGCTTTTGCTAACCACAATTTGTCACAAATTGGCAAACTATAGATCGTGCCTTCCACAGCATGGTTTGGAAACCATATTCAAATTGGGCTTGGAAGCATAGGGCTAATCAGGGATGGCCCATTCTGTTTCGCCACCCGAGGTGAAACAGGAATGTACTGCCCCTTCCCTTCCCACTGTATTCCACCCCTCGCTTGCCCCACCACTTCCACTGCCACCAAAATACCCCCCTCTCGCCAATTCAGTGAGACGGGATGCATTCCAGCTGCAGAGGCTGTGGGGCAGGTGGTGCCTCTTGTATTCTGCTGTCTAAGGCATCTGCTTCACCTTGCCTCATGGGTGGGGCGATTGTGGGTCTAATATAGTTCATCAGTCCTGATATTATAGCAAATGATGGTTAGCAAAAAAAAAAAAAAAAAAATGGCAGGGGGAAAGAGAAAGCTCAGGAAGCACTTCAAAATACAGTGGTACCTCGGGTTACAAACACTTCGGGTTACAGACTCCGCTAACCCAGAAGTAGTACCTCGGGTTAAGAACTTTACCTCAGGCTGAGAACAGAAATCGCACGGTGACTGCACAGCGGCAGTGGGAGGCCCCATTAGCTAAAGTGGTACCTCAGGTTAAGAACAGTTTCAGGTTAAGAACGGACCTCCAGAATGAATTAAGTTCATAACCAGAGATACCACAGTATGTTGAATAGTTAGGTCATGTCTGAACTGAGCCACAGAGTGAAGCCATTTTATACCCATAATAATCCTACTTTAAACAAAAACAACAACAACCTTGGACAGCCCACTTATTTCTTAATTTATAGTGCCAGAGACACAAACTGTCTGAGCAAGATGAGTCAGCACTTGTGACCCCTGTATAAATGTGGTTTTAAAAATCCCTCCCCCGTGTCTGCTGGGTGTTGCTGCCCGGCAGATGATGCCCCTGGCTGTAATCAGAATTTGGGAGTTTCACTCCCTTCTGTTGCCCAATCTTTACAGAAGCTCCGGCTTCAACCTGCCCGTCACGTGTGCTTGTTGCGCTTGTTGATACCTTGCTTTCTGAGGATTAGTCAAATGTGAACACAACAAGGACCAAGGGAGAAGCAGGCAGAGATGTGAAGCAATGGCACATGAGGAAGTTGCTGTTTGGCACCTCACTGTACTAGGCGAGGCAAGTGAATACTGGCAGTGAAATGTCACCAAATCGTTTCACCGGCTGATGGCATCTCACTGCCAGCTAGGCTATGGGAGAAAAAGTCCCCTGGCATTTAAGTTGCCAGAAAACAGAGCACATGTTTCAATTACGGTCTGTGCTGCAGAGCCAAGGCTGAGTCGCATCACATGCTCAGAGAGTATCAGCCCAGCTAACATTGAGTGACTCCAGTTACTGTTTTAGGCTGTGAAGTTGTAGTATTTTAGGCTGAAAATGCTGATTGGATAATCAGCGTGCATTTCCCCCCTTTTAGAAATATTTTAAAGCAGCCAAGAGAATACAAAGGCTTGTTATTCTGGAATTAAGACTCAAAAGGCTCATGCCGACAATCTGCTTTTAGATCCCTGTTTTATCAGCTCTGAGCCTAGTAAAATGTGGCTCAGAGATGTGGGTTCAGTTGGGGCCAGTCGGGGCGATCTGGCCTTGTATACGAAGCTTGGAATGACAGTGGCAGTGGAGGGAGAGCTTTTATAGAGTCCTCCCACCTACCTTATGTAATTTAACTGAATGACAGTGCAAAAAATATGTGTATGGCTGGATTAGGAAAGTGGACTAGCCAGTTGAACAATCACATTTAGATTAGTTTTAACCATAGATATTTAAAAACTATTTTAATCCATGTATATTTATTAGATGGCCTCGTCACAGAATAAAGAAAACGAAATGGATGTATCTAATGAAGCAAACCTGGCCTCTTACATAACTTTTCCCAGTATACCTTTCCTTTCCTGCTAGCTAATGCTTCCCTGCCTATTTACACATTTGACATCACATATCCTTTTCTTGAAAGCCTATATTCCCTGTGCTCAGGTGTGAGTGCCGTTGCTTGTGTAGCCCTCAATGCACAAGAGAGAAGCAGTCCCAAGATCAGAAGAAGAAGTAGAAACTTTAAGGGGAAAGTATAAGGGGGTGAGACCCCTTCAAACAACCCAGTCATGACTGAGCATGCTCGGTGGTTGTGGAATGCTCCCATGGTTGTGGAATGCTCCCATGTCTATTTGCAGGGTGAGGCAGGTGGAGAGAAGAGAGTTGGAGTATCATAGAAAAGGGAATAAATAGGTCATGAGTGGAATGCTGAACAGAAGCATTCCACCTGGCAACATTTTTGTTGCAGGTCCCACTCGTCCTTTCCTAAAAGCTTATTTGGTCATTGCTGCTCTTCCTCCATTCTGCGGTGTCTTCACTTATTGGTTAGAATGCTATGCTTGATGTCATTCCAGTAACAGACTTTTCCTGATTCAAGCATTCTCCCCCAGTGGGTTATATCTAACTGAGTTCTGCTCTGAGTAGCCCCATTGAAATGAATGGACTGAAGTTAGTCCTGGCCTTTAATTTCAAGAGGTCTACCCTGAGTAGAATTCACATTAGATCCAACCGAGCAGCTCTTCTCCCCTCGTGAGGCCGTGTGCCCTTTGCTCTTCAACACTCTTTCCCCAAGCTCTGCTGCTGTTTGGTGACAAGCATGGAGCACACACAGCAAGAGCAGCCATTCCTTCCTAGAATGCTCACATGTGCTCTTTCATTTCTGGAGAGAGAGGGGAAAGGAGCATAGCTTTGTGGCGTAGCCACGTGGGACCCAAATGATTTTGGGCAATGCCTGGACTTGAGGAAGACCCCTGCAAGAGAGTGCCATGGGAGCCTTTGGCAGAGCACACCATCCTGGACCAGTACAGACTTGAAGCCAAACTAAACAAGATGGCAGATGAGAGAGAGAGGAGAAGGTGAAGGTGAAGATGCATTAAGGGAAGAGTTGTAGCCTGGTGGTGGAGCATTTGCCTTGCATGTAGAAGGTCCCAAGTTCAATCCCTGGTATCTCCAGGTAGGACTGAGAGAAACCCTCACTGGAAAGCCTGGAGTGTAGACAAAACTGAGCAAGATGGACCAATGGGATGACTCAGTACAAGGCAGCTTTTTAACCCTTTCCTGCCTGTGTTTTCTGTGAAAATGGGTCCTTCCCCTAGCTGGATTATTAGGGGAAGCGTACATTCACACCTACTTACATTGGTGTTTCATATGTGCTGCTGCTTCCATTTGACCATTTCACTTTGCTGGTCCTTCCTGCTTTAGCTGAGCACCTGCCTCCTAACTTGCATGGAATGTGTGACATGGGCAAGCCACAGAAAAATGTGGAGCAAGCTGCTTCCCTCTTTTATTGCAGGTTAAGTAGTATAGATATATCTTCCTCAGCCCATCCCATGTGTAAACAAGCCAGAATCTTCTTTAATCTTCCATAGTGTTTTCCCACCTCCCCTCTTCCTTTTGTCCCCTCCTTTGTTGTATCGGTGCCACCTACACCCACGTACAAATCGCCTGGTGTTGACATCCTGGCAGCTCTTCAATTTATTCTTGTGCTCCAGCCCAGAGCAGTTTCAATGACGCCAAAAAGCATAAGCCCTGGAGGAGAGCAGCTACCTCTGTGACTCGCATCTCAGCGGACCAAGAACAGCTGGGCAGAGAACTGTCTGAAAAGCTCAGGTACCCTTTAACTCTTTGTAGACGGATAGACAGAGCATCCCAAGAGGAAATGCATAATCCTTCAGCCCCTGCTTCGGAGCTTGTCTGCCTGCTTGGCTGTCGTGAACTGACAGGTAGTGGGAATAAGTAGCACTAAGACAGGACAAAAGAGCCCTTTGAGGAATCTGGCTCCTGTTGCTGTAGAGGTGCAGGTCAAGCTGCTAAGCTATTATGACAAACCCAGGATGATTGATAGCACCTTCTGGGGTCTGGCCTAACAGGCAGAGGGACAAGTTAGCAACAAAGCCCAGTAGGAGAATAAAAGGATTGGCGTTGCAGGTACTGTACTAAGTTAGAGTTGCCTTCTGCTTGCTTTTGTTGGTTTGCTACATTCCCTGAGTTTGATCAAAAGGATTTTGAGAGCTAGCTATGGAAATAGGCAGGTGGGAAAATAGGAATCCAAGGCAGTTTTACTTAAAACTAGGAATGGAGTGTAATGAAAGTACCCCATAGCAGATAAACACAAAAGTAGCACAAAGTTAACATGATCAAGTGTAGCACATAACTAGCTTTTCAGATGCTATGAAGTGAACTTCTTTGACTGGACTTCAGAATGTGTGTGTGTGTGTGTGTGTGTGTGTGTGTGTGCGCGCGCTCACAGTCAAACCAGAAAAGAACTATTTATATACCTGCATTAGCATCATCATGGTCATGATACCTTTGAAGCACACTGTGGCAGCCCCCCTTTAGACTGCTAACTCACGAATTAGTGGTGGAAGTGGGGGTAACTCAGCAACAAGGTAAAATCTCCTTATGGACCAACTTGAATTAGCATAAGCAGGATTTCAGATTTCCTTATCCCTGGCTAATTCAGCGTATAGCATTACACAAGTCTGCATTTTTGTTTTCTAGGAACAGTTGGTCTGCTGATAGGTATATTAGGGGGAAAGCATTGAAAGTAATGAATTGCTGGTTTGTTTGTTTGGGGTTCTTTTATTTTAAAAAAAAAGGCCTTCACCCTGCCCTCATTTGATTAATGGTATAGCCTGCCGAATTACATGCAATGTTGACATGAGATGGTCTGCTGATGTTCTTCCTAAGTGCCATGCACTTTACATGGTCAAACAACACCAAAGTAAAAAGGAACTCCAGCTAATTAAGCTTTCTTCACAAGCAGATGCTGGCAAGGTTGTGCTTTCATGACTCAGTCCACAGAGAAACACCAAAAAGTTTCGCACATCGCACTGGTTAAATAATGCCCTTAAGACTTTAGCGATCCTTTTAAAAAAAAGTATACCTTCTTGTTTTGGAATTTCAGATGCAAGAGTGCTTTGAAATATTAAGTGCTTCCTATTAAGTGCAGTGGGAAGGCAGGGAGCACTACATCATTTACTTTCTTTTGGATGAGAGAGTATTGGCAACTTTCTAATACAGTCCCATCATTTTGAGTCAAAGCTGCAAATTGAGTATGAGAAAATTAAACCTAGTGGCTTTTGTCTAAGACCTCCATTTTATTCTGAGATAGGACGCAGTATCTTAGAGGATAAAGTTTTTGCCTTCTATTCAGTAGACCTGGTTTCACAATTTTGGTCTAGTATTAATGACACGTTAGATGATCCTGGAGAAACCAGAATATACTCTGTTTCCCATCTATAAAATGGGAAGAACAATTAAATAATGAGGCTGAGCAAGCGGTAATGAGGAAGAGCATAAGATAATAGCATATGAAGTGGTGTAAATATCAAAAGCATTGTATGCACTGTTACTACTTTATTAAAGAAAATATAATATAAAAAGACCCTGGACAAACGTCTACAAATGCACCATTCAGGTAGTCAGAAATTTAAGGAAACTGCAGCAACTATTTTATATCATGCTATTTTTAATCTATTCTTTTTATAAATATCCTATAACAGTTCCAGTGGTTGGTTTTTTTACCTACTTGATCATCTGTTGTGATGCTTAGCTCTTTCATTCATTTTCCTATTCCTTTTGTGACCTTTAATTTTCTCTAGAGTTAAATTCCATATGACTAAAGAATCTGTTCTATTCCCTGGATTACTCACTCATCTCTCTATGTGGGGTGACCACAACTTCAGACAGGTGCAAAGTTATCAGTGCATGATTGATTTATGCAATAATATTTAACTTTGGCCTTGTTGCTGGCAATAACTAACCTATCTCACAAGGTGTTTGTTCAGATATAATGTAAATGAAGTGGAAGATAAAAATGCCAGGAACTCTGTGTGTGTGTATTTGTCCATCTCTTCTTCCTAGTACTGAAGATCCCGTTCCTTTTTAGAGCTACGGTGCATCAGACTGATTTAAAATCAAATCAATTCCAACGTGACTTAAGAACTCTTTGTTTGCATATAACAGTTGATTTTGAATCTAATGTTGGGTGCACACAAATAAACAACATTGTCTTGGAAGGAAAAGGCAGTCTGCCATGTTTTTGTCTCTCAAGTGAATTACCTTTTATTCCTTCTGCAAGAGAATTAATCTAGAGAAGTTGCAAACCTCAAATCTAGGTTATGACAGCCCGCCATGAAGTCTGAATCTGATGGGCCAGAGGCAGGTGGTGTTGCTGTGAAAGGGCTGGAATTAATGTATTGGATCAGTCAAGCGAGAACAGTAGAGGGTCAACGACAGAAGATGCAGGCTGAAGGTTTATTGTAATTAAAGCATACAAATAATTACAAACAGATTTTATATAGGTATATAGTTTTAATTCTATTGAAGTTTAACTGTACTAAATTTTTCAAAATGTTTATAGCGATTCTTTGTTTTTAGCTGTAAGCTGCCTTGAGTCCCAACAGGGAAAAAGGCAGGGTATAAATAGATATATAATAATATATATCAGATTGGACAGACGAGTTGGACTTGTAACAAAATGTTATTTGTGTGGAGTGCTCCTCTTCAGGTTTCTAGCTACTCCATTCTATTCCCTGCCACCCCCCACTGCTGTTTCTTCCTCTCTAACAGTCATTCTGCTTTCCATGCAAGCTGAGCATGCTCACTCCTCATGGGGCTGTTTTAGGGATCCTTCCCCTGTTAAATTTTATTTAATAATAATAATAATAATAATAATAATAATAATTGTATTTCTGTAAATATTGCAACTCCCCCAAGGCTGCTGACATCTTCCTCTTGTGTGTGAATGGTGCCATTTGAATGACATGGCACTGGTTTCAGAACACATGGAAACACTTTGGACCAGAGAGACTAGGAAGGCCATGTTAAAGGTCAACCTAATACTTAGCACATATTTGAAGCTGGGCAAGCCTTGTGAAAATCCAATATAGTTATTAGATGAGCACCAGAGCATTATTTTTAGGCAGAGAGAGAGCTGGTTAGAAATGTCATCCACACATACAAAACAAAGTATGGTATTAACTCAGCCAGTGCTCACACCTGTGACTGATGTAATAATCTAAAATAGGGTAAAGCTAAAAACTTAATTGTTGCAGGCTGATCCAAATAATGCCCACATATAATGATGTCACCAAGCTAAGGTCTATTTCTCCTTCAGGTGCTGCAAATTATGTCATGTCTTTTCTATCTGACTGGGTAATTTTCTGAAAACATTTATCGTTTTAGCCGACTAATATTAGGGGCGAGAGTGGAAGGGCATACTAACTCTGTTGAGATGGCTTCATAGTTGAGAAGCTCCTAAGGAAAAAAGGTTCAAATAGTGGGAAAATATAAATGACCTGGCATCAAAAGGCAACCAAATAAGGGGCAATTCACTGGAGACTGTTTCTGTGGAATTGGCAAGGATCTGGAGTCATTTTCCTCCTTGTGACAGACAACTCATCAGGTAAGTCTGACTCTGGTGAGCCATCATGGTGAGAGGAGTAAGAAAACAGGATAAAGGCACTAAAGACCACTCTGATGAGGCAGTGGAGATAGGAGTGTAAAACATGGGGTCACTGCTGTGGACGTCATCAAGTTGAGGCAGAATTAACTTCCCAGTTTCAGATGACTATGCAGCAGCCCAAATTCAGTGTCCTCCAGGCATCTATAGAAACGAAATTCCATTGATAAAAAGAACAAAAGCAGCAATGTTAACATTCCTTTTCTCTCTCTCTCTCTCTTTGGTAGGTGGCAATGTTTTATTGCAGTCATTGGGCAGAGGTCTTTCTTCCCACAGTATTTCCTCTTTCATCCTTAACTTGATTTTCTGTCTGTGTGGGAAGGGATAAATACTGGCCATTTAGTTCATGGAAAGGAAGGGGATTCTATAGGTTGTGTAACTGGTTTGAGAGGGGTCATCCCATTACAGAAGTTCGACTTCATGCTTCCTGAAGGACACAAAGGTTAATGTATTTAATGTGATACTGATTAATGTGCTTTCAGGTTCA